TTTTATTTGGTCTGATTTTGATCCCTCGGGCACACACTTACACAGAAAGCATCTATACATGAGTCGGGTACCTTTCTTTTGAAGGTTGTCAGTTGTTAGAATACTCTCTTAAACAGCCTCCAACGGAATGATTAGGATGGAGGGAGAGGGTTTTTTCTTCTCTATTTTTTTGCAGGGAGGAGGGTTGGTGGGGTGGAGGGAGGTTTTAGCACGGATAAAGGTTTGAAACTTCTTGCATGGAATCATAAAAAAGACTGAGTTCAGAAAGGGTTCGGTTCCATGGAGTAAAAGAAAACGCCGGGAACAAAAATAGGGTTTTTGTCTTGGAACCACTGGACTGACGGCCTGCACCATACCCATCACGTTGTTGTGACATTATCTGATCTCTCTTCTGATGTTCTCTCTGTATTTTGTGCTACTATAAATCTTTGATGGTGCATTGACTTTGTCTCCTATTCCTCTCATCTAGGTGCCCAATGCTGCAGCAATTGCAGCTGCCTTTGCAGGAGGCTTACCCCCTGGAATTAGCGGGACAAATGATAGGTGTACTGTCCTTGTCTCCAATCTTAATCCTGATGTAAGTACTTTTCTGATTTTACTTGCCGCCTTTGGTAGCTTGTAAAGTGATTCAACTGTTGGACCATTGAAAACACAATTTCTTATGTTTCAGGGAATAGACGAGGACAAGCTTTTCAACCTTTTCTCTCTTTATGGAAATATTGTCAGGATTAAACTTCTTCGAAATAAGCCAGATCATGCACTCGTTCAGATGGGTGACGGCTTCCAGGCTGAATTAGCAGTACACTTTCTAAAGGTTAGATCTGATAAACTTATCAACTGCACTTGTGCTGTTAAGATGAGGATGAGAAAATTCTTTTCTAGAACCCTCCCTAGTTGTAGGATAGAGCAAATTACTTCTTCTCCCCGGATCTTAATAGTTGTATCTCTTTCCACATGGTTGAAGTAGTATAATCTTTTGCTTCCATTGTTTTAATTGGAATTTATATACTGTTTTGAAGTAATTGACGGAGTCGTTTTTATTTGCTTTGTTTGGTTTATTATTATCCCCTTCTCTGGGTTCCTCGGATGAAGGACACATATTTTTCTTCCCAGCTGCTATGCGACTGGATAGTGAGGCTTGTTGACTTTGGGCTGTGGTGCATATGGAATATGTAAAACAGTCTCAAATGACGATGTGCATTTCACCTTCAGGTCTCAGAATCACAGAAACTCATGCACTTGATAGATTTCGTTGGTGTGAGTACATTGCATCTATAATTTAACCACCTAAGAAGCCTTTTTGATGTTGTGCAGTTAAAGCCTCAAGCAAAGAATCTCCATAATTTCACAGATTGATGAACTTTTGTCCAGTAGAAGTATGTCAGTAATCTTTACTCTCACAAGTGCTCAATGGTCCACATGATGGAGTTTCTTTGTCATAAATTCTCTTCAGTGTTATGGTCTGCTGCACATGTTTTAGGGTTCAGCCGAGCTTAGTTTTGGTACATTTTTACGGCAAGTAGTGTTATTAAAATTAACCCAAAAGTACAGAGAATATTTGAACACTTCTCCTTTTCTTTTTGCCAGAATGAGCATTAGTTGCTTCTGAAGTCGATCGAGTTGGTCTCTAAACGGGCTTCAACTTATATTTGTGGCTAATAGGAAATGCTATGCAACATCACATGATTGTTTAATTTTATGAAATTGTGTTTGCTTGAATTTGATTGAGAGCTCTCTCTTTTGACGTGAATCATTTCCCTGTAATCATTATTTTGCATCGGTTATTATAGAAGTTTGTCAATAATCTGGGAGCTGTTATGTGAGCTATAGGGGGCCATGCTTTTTGGGAAGCGATTGGAGGTTAATTTCTCGAAGCATCCAAACATAACTCCTGGTGCTGAAACACACGAGTATAGCAATTCGAATCTTAACCGCTTCAATCGTAATGCGGCAAAGAACTACCGGTACTGTTGCTCTCCTACGAAGATGATCCACCTCTCCACTCTTCCCCAGGAGATTACGGAAGAGGAGATTGTGACACTCCTAGAGGAGCACGGTACCATTGTTAGTACCAAGGTTTTTGAGATGAACGGGAAGAAGCAAGCCCTAGTTATGTTTGAAACTGAGGAGCAAGCCACCGAAGCTCTTGTGTGCAAGCACGCCAGCTCTATGGCAGGGTCGATAATCCGAATTTCCTTCTCTCAGTTGCAAGCTATATAAGGGAAGATAGCAGTTTGAAGTGATGATGATGATTGATGTCTGCTGCATCGGACTTAGTTTTCTTAGGACCCTCTGTTTAGAGGATCTGTTAAGGCTGTTACTATCTGCATTGTCTCAATCACGTGATGAGAATTTAATGGCTTCTTGCATTAGAAGGTTGCTCTCTACGATGAAGGCTCGGTCGAATTCTTGTCTGCTCTTGTACTTGTACCAGCATTTCCGTTCCTGTATTTTATGCCAATCTCCAACCTTTGTCGAACTGTTAACCGTACTTCTTCGATTTTCGGGAATTTCCTAGCTAAGCTCTTTTATTCTTACCTCTTTATCGAAGCAATTTGCGTACATAATCCTTGCTTTGGCGAGCTAAAAGGTCAATAAGGCTATAGCTAGTCTTTTGGGGATATGATTAGATGGGCTCTTTGTATTTCTGGCATCCTTTGCATTTGGAGATTATTGAACTTCGTGTCTTCCTCTATTTCCTTGAACTTCCGTGTGTTTAACAGCATTCTTGAACACACCCAAGTAGGACGGGATCGATATCATTTGTGAAATCAGGGATTCATGGTTTTAATGTAGGTTTTTCCTTTGACTGCTGTTGGTTATTTCAATATTTTTAAATTTCTAAAGGAATACGTGATTTAATATTCAGAATGGACAAGATATAGGGGGTGTTTGGTTCAGCTTTGGGAAGGGATTTTGAGCCCCGAAAGCCCCTTCCCAAAATGCTGGAGTGTTTGGTTCAGCATTTGGTCTAGCATTGGCCAAATGCTAGCATTCCACGAATGCTACTGTTCACCAATATTTTTTTTATTTTTTATTTTTGGTTTGAAGCTGTTCTTCACCATGTAGCCGGCGAGGGCGGCCGGCGAGGGAGAAGGGCCGGCGAGGTCGGGCGACCACCGGCGAGCTAGATCTGCCGTGCCGGCGGTCGCCCGAGGCCAAACGACCCTCGGCGGGGTTGCACGACCCGGGCGACGGCGCACTGGGTTGCGCGACCTCGGGCGGCCGTCCCCTGAGGTCGCGCGACCTCGGGCGGCCGCCGCCCGAGGTCGCGCGACCTCGGCGGCCGTCGCCCGGGTCGTGCGACCCTCGCCGAGGGTCGCCTGGCCTCGGCGACCGGCGGTGGCGGCGGAGATCTGGCTCGCGGTGGTCGCCCCACCTCGGGTGACGGCCGCCGGCGCCATATCTATCTCGCCGGCGGCCGGTTCCGGCGATGGTAGGTTTTATTTATTTTTTTAATAAATAAAATAATTCTCAAAGTCCATTTGCAAAAAAAATTTACCAAACACTATATTTTGGCCAAAGTAGCTTTACAAAATATTTTTATCAAACACCATTTGCATTTCCCCAATGGGCTTTCACCCAAAGGTATTTACATTCCCCCAAGTAGCATTTTCAAAGTTGAACCAAACAGGCCCATAGTCATAGCAATGTAGTCATTAACTGGCATGATACATGGGATCTCTATAAATTTTTGTGAAAACTTGGCTAACTCGTATGATGTTGATTCTTCTTTTGCATTTTAGCAAATTAGTTCTCAAGATCACTTTAGCATACCTCTATTAAAATTTTGAATTAAGGTAAAAGATTGATATAAGGTTAAAAAACATATATTTCTAGAGGGTTTATCACATAACCGTGTATAAAAATAAGGGATAGCTAAGAGTATAATAAGTGACGAATTTAATAATTTAAAATTTTTGCAGAAACCAATTATGGCACAATATTTTAACAAATTGATAAAAAAAAAATTCACGTAACATCGTAGCCCATGTTTACATATTAATGATATAAATATAAACTAAATCTGTGCTAACTAAGATGCTTTCCAAGAATTGAACAACGAAAGATGCTTAATAAGAATGGAACAATGTAGGAATATCTTTTATGACATGTAGCCTATATTTGACAAATAAATAATATTATAGGATTAAAAAAAAGTATCCATCATCCTAAAAGAAATTATAATACATGCTTTACAAATAGAGAATACTAAAAAAAACAAAAAAACAACTAATAGCAAATCAATAGAGAAAGAGTTATCGATTATTACACGATCGTGCATATATGACAAATAAATATGACAATGTGCATAATCATTGATAACTCTTATGAGTAAAACCCTACATCTGGTAGAATTTCAATTATTCTATAGTTGATGAGAACAAACTCCTAAATTTGGTAGTAGTTTGTATCACGTTACAGTTGATAAGAACAAAGTAAGTCGAATAACGTATGGAAACACATATAACAAATCATTTTGTCCTATTTTTACAAATAAATGATATTAAATTATCGAGAAAAATCAACGGATATGATAACCCATATTTAACAAACAAATGATGTAAACCCGATCTAAATTAGATGAGAACACACATTCTACGTACAAATGGACATTGGTAAACTAATAAATGAATCAGCCACGAGCATAAACATTTTATTGAGGAAAAAAAATTACTTTAAAAGACTCCATCGTACGATAGTGCATATTCTATAAATATACGACGGTAGAGGATCATTAAAAAAAAAAGTCATATAACACAATACCCTTTATCTATTTATTTTTTGGTCGTACAATACCCTTTATTTGATAAAATTAATGACATTAGAGGATCAATAAAATAATCGATTACTATAAGAATTGTAGCTCGTCTTTTGCAGATAAATGAGCATTACAAAATAAATTTAATAAAATAAATAAAAAAAACCCAATCATAAAAAAAATCATATATAATACATTTTTTAAAGGGTCATCTTATATGTTAAATTCACAAATGACCAACCAACTTAGATAACTACCTCTCCCCGCCACAAATTTGGGCGCCAAACAAGAACGCGCTCCACCTTATAAACCTCTGTTTCTCTCTCCCTCTGCCTTCCCAAATCCATCTCCATACTCAGAATTTCTCATCACAAACAACTCATACAGATTACAGAAGAGAGAGAGAGAGAGAGAGAGAGAGAGAGAGAGAGAGAGAGGGGGAGGAGGAGGAGGAGGAGGAGGAGGAAAGTGAATCAGTTTGCGAACTGTGAACGACCATTTTCAAGATTCGTCCGACCGAGAGAAAAACAGAGCAGACGAATGCACACGATGAGCTTCCTCGCTCATCTGGACTACCCTCAAGAACCACCGGAAGGAGAGCGAGCCCCGGTTCAAGAACGATCCGAAGAAGAAGAAGAAGAATGCGATGGGGTATGCCCCGAGATCTTGTTGCCCCGACCCCGCGTCCTCTGCTGCGGCGGCGGCGCCAACCCCATGAAGCGGAGGAAACTCCCCTTCTCTTCTCCTCCGCCGATGGCCTCGAACCTCAAGAAGAGGCCCTGCTGCTCCCTCCTCGACCGGGAGGACATCGACTACACGCTCCGCGGCTTTAGCAATATCACCCTCCCCTCCCTTCCCCCCTCCAATCTCCGGCGCACCAGCTCCGATCCGGTCCCGCTCGGCGCTCACAAGAACGCAAACGGGGTTCTTGCAGCTCCAAACGGTGGGGATCGCGAAGGTGTGGGGTTCGACGGCGCAGTCTCTACGTCGCCACAGAAGCTTGTGTTTGGAGTCAATCCAGCAATGGCGGCGACTCCTTTGCTGGGGAGGGGAAGCTCGTCACCGTCCTCGCTTCCCCCCAGGCCTCCGCTACAGAGGACGGTGTCGGACCCAACCCCACACCATTTCCCGGGGTCGATCAACTCGTTTTCCAGTGGCTCGAGCTCAAGCGGCGGTTGTGGCAGCGCGGAGGATAGTCCTAATTCCAGGGTCGGTCTTTTCCAATCCTCTCGATGTTCTTTTCGGTGAAAAAATGCTTGATGTCGTTCTGTTATGATGATCTGAATGTTACCCAATCGTTGGTAATTTTGATTCATTATTTTCTGGTTCTTGAATTCTCTCTCTGACCATCAAAATACTTTTTTTTTTTCTTGATATCTATTGTACGCATGTCAACCGTGAATCATGCTTTTTCTATAAATGATCTCAAGTTACTTTCGTGGAGATTGGTGTTTGCAGTCATCTGATGAACGATAGTTGTTTTCTTCCCCCTCTTTTGTCATATTTGGAACTTTTCTTGTGTTGTGCAATAGTAGGAACATAGAGCATATTCTACGAGCTTTGCTTACCTGGGCCTTGATTCTTGAGGGAAACAGAATGAAAGAAAGATCAAGTGAAAGAGCGATTGAATTCGCTTGTTATCTCGCACGTTCTGATTTGTTGATTTGGAACTCATTTTTCTTTAATGCGGGTTTTCTTTTTAAACCAATGCAGAGACTGAAGAGGATGAAGCGTTGCCTTAATGAGATGGGCAAGTGGTGGGATCATATGATGTGCGAAGCCGAAGAGGACGGGCCTTATATACAAGACAACACCCGGGGCACAGAGGTTTGATTTGATGTGCATAGACTTTACATTTGTACTGATGATCATGTAATGTCGTGGAATTTGGAGGAAGATTTGTTACTCTGATGTTTTCCTTCTTTTGTTTCAACTTGCGGACTGCGCAGCAGGTTGAGCGCGAAACCGTGCAGGACAATCAAGAAACTGTGAGCGTGGAGGTCGTTGGCGATTGCTTGTGCATTGATCTCGGTTGCACATGTGGAAAGGGCTTCCAGATTCTGCTCTGGAGAAACAAGTGCTACTACAAGCTTGTGTGAGACCCCATTTTTGTAATATTGGTCCCAAAAAGAAGGCTTTCTTAACCGAGTCCACGGATGCACATCTTACCTGAGAATTGAAGTTCTTGTTCTTTGTTTTCTTTCTTCTTCCTTACTCACAGTCTCGGCATTCTTTGATTACACTCTGTCACCGTCAAGGATCAGAAATTGCCGTTCTTCGTCGCTTTTGCAATCCTAGATGGGAATTGCCTTCCTCTGTTGCTAGTGTGAACATGGAACACAGACACTATTTGCATTCTTTAATGGTTTCCTTATGCGTACCTATTCGTTTGCCGCGAGACCATATTTCGCCCCTCTAAGAAAGGTGTTTACACTCTAATCTTCTATTTTAAAGCCTTACCAGTCGCGGTCATATTTCTTGATGTGATCACGTGCTCATTTCATAGTTTTTTGAGTGCCAATAATGTTCAGAGGCAGACGGCACTCGTCAATTTCGTGCGCCGTACCTCAAATAATTAGATTAGAACTTGCGTATCTTCAAATGATTCTTTAGCATTATGAAGGGGAACAAAAACGAGCTTCGAACAGGCGAAATTTTATAAGGATATGCAGGAAAAGTAACGATGATTAAGAAAACTAGACACTAAAAAACTTGGAAAGTCTTTGCTAGAGTCGGTTCTGACAGATTCAAGCCCATCACATTTGAAATCAGCCTACTAATCATCCTAGATCAGCCTTTGACCGATTGAAGGGTTGATGGTCAAGCCTAAATTATCAGATCAACTGTCAACGCGCACACATTCGATTCACTTCATGGTCTTCTTTTTCGGGCATGGGCTTTGGCAGTTAGAACACATGATTCCTCGTGATTCATGCGTAATGTCATTACTATTACTATTAGAGAACTCATGACCTGAAGTCAGATCAAGGGTGTGTTTGGTAACCATTCTGTTCCCAGAAACAATTTCTGCTATGAAATGATTTTTTTTTATTCTATTATCGGAAACAATTTCTAAGCATTTGAAGGAGTTTGGTAACTGCTCAAAATTTCTATTATTGGAATAGAAAAATAATAGAAATGCGTTTGGTAATTGCACAAAATTTCTTTTTATTAATAATGTTTTAATAATATTTTAAATTTTTTAATATTTCTTTCTTTTTATTGTTCCTTCTTTTTTCTTCTTCCCCTTCTTTGGCCTATGGCCAGGTCACTGGCGCCGACGACTGGCCATAGGCCAGGGCCCGCGAGGGCATCGCGACCCTCCCCAGATCTAGCGAGGGCTGGACCCTCGCCGCCACCCTCGCTAGATCCGGCAAGGGCGGTGGTGGTGGCGAGGGTCGCCCACGCAAAATTCGGCAAGGGTGGCCCTCGTTGGATTTGGTGGGGGCGGCAACGAGGGTCATCCATGCCAAATCGGGCGAGGGCCGCAACGTCCTCACCAGCCCTAGCTTGTGTCCGGTCGACGGTGGCCGGCGATCGGCTACAGGCCAGGAAGAAGAAAACCAAGCAGAAGAAGAAGAAAAAAATTCTTTTCCATTTCTGATTCTTATTCCCAGAATCAAGAAACAAATTTTTTTTACTTCTTAATTCTGTTCCAAAACTGATTCTAAGAACAAATTTGTGCAAATTTGTACCTGAGAAAAAAAAACTTGCCAAACGGATTTTTGTTTCAAAATTAATTCTGAGAACAAAAGAATAGAATCAGTTACTATTTGACTAGTTACGAAACGCAGCCCAATTGTTAGAGCGCCATTGAATCTGATGATCTATCGAAATACACCTCCCGCATTGGGTTATTTTGGGCGGGAGTTATATGAATATGTTTTAAGGCTTCTAAGTCTATAGAATAGTGAAAGAAACGTTCAGAGAATGAAACTGGACTCGAGGCATAGTATGCTTGGCGCTCAGTTTAGAGCGGTTTTGTCCGATCTTCAATCCTGTCACTTCTGATCATCCCCATTTCTTTCTAGGTCCGATCTTTGATTACATTCGATCTTTGGCATCTCTGATCTTCTCCATTCGCCCCCTGTTACATTTTCCTAGCTTAGTCTCCTCACTGTTACATTTCTCCTTCAATGGATCATTCTCAATTGTGACATTTGATCTACAATCGGCATTTTTTCTCTTTCACTCTCTTAACTCTGTTCGTCATTCTCGCATAGTTTCCCATCTTCATTTGCAGGGCTTTTGTTCCTATGAGTGGTTGATGGCTAATACAAATCTAAGTCTTTCCAAGTAGAAGAGGCAGACGACTCAGTTTTGAGCTAGAGACGGTGAATCTGATAAATCCTGTTGGTTGGATGCTGAAGAGATGATAGCCTCGTGTCTATTGGATAAAACAGCAGTGCACAATGTCCTCAAGAAGGCTTGGGCTGATATCCTGATATGGGTTATTTCTCCATTGCTGACGTTGGAGATAATGAATTCCTGTTTACTTTTGTGTCTCGTAAAGGTATGCAGACAGTGTTTTAAATGTTAGTCCATGGTCTGTTATAAAATACTGCCTTGTGCTGAAGGCTTGGGATGAGAAGAGAAGGTTGGAGGATCTATGTTTTGATTATGCTGCATTCCATATACAAATATATGGTTTAGCTCCAAATCAAATGAAGTCGGGGAATGCTAGAAGAATTGGTGATTTTGGCAAGAGTCGTGGATGTTGAAGATCAGTGTGGAGGACTTGGGGGTAGGAGGAGTTTTTTTTTGCGAATTAAGGTGGAGATTGATATTTGTTTTCCTCCGAACCTGGCTTGGGGATCTGTCTACTGAAGGTGATTAATATCGGATCGATTTAAATACGAACCAAGTAACTGATTTTTGTTATAACTGTGGAAGATTGGGGCATGCTTAGATTGCTTGTCAGCTGCTTGATGTTGGACAGCACCATGGTCCTGGTTTGCGAGCTAATAGAATGGGGGGGAAAGATGCCAGTTTTGCTAGAAGAGATAAAAGAAACACGAAGAGGCCTTCATACCCTGAGTCCAACCTTACTGACCCTCCTATCTTACAATCCACAAACGTCCCTTTTGCATGATACTTCCTACACATATCAGCCTGATACCAACCCTTCTCATCCTTCCATCATACAAACCCCGAACAGCCCTGGACACAATATACCACACACATCAATACAAACAAAGCAGTCCCTACACAACCCGATCCTAGTGGTTCTTTCACTGAATCTCATGTTACTAATCACTCCGCTGATGACCCTTCACCTGATGTTTCTGAATCCATTCAATCCATCCGTACCGATCCTAGTAAACCTGGGAGTCATAAGGAGGAGGAGGGCAGAGGAACTGGTATCTGGTTCAGTTTCCTGGCGAGGAGGACCAGCTGGATGGAATAAAAGGATAGGGCCATTGTTTCTTTCCAAATTGAAGTGGCTTTGAAGAATGGGGAAGGGAGATTAGAGTATCCTGGAACTATGGCAACCCTGATGTCCGTGAGAAGCAAGAGAATTGGCAAGCTTTAATGCAAATAGCGGCTCCATCCTTGGCTCTGCGTGGGAGATTTTAATGAATCAAGTAGCACTGTAGAGAAGAGTGGAGGCGATACGAAATCGGCCAGATGCATCGACAGTTTTATACGCTATGGTTTTCGTCACGCTGCTCAAGATGGACCTGGTCTATAAAAAGATTTACCTGGTGTAATGATATGGAGGATGGGATCATAGAGGAAAAGGTTGGATTGAGAGGCCTAGCTACTGTTGCATGGAGAAGTCTGTTTCCAAGAACTTGCAGGATGGTGATATGCTCCAGAGGCTGACATGCAGGAGGTTACTTCCAAAGTTAGATGAGTAGTGGTTACAAGAAGAGATGTACTGGCATCAACAAGCTCATGTAAAACACTGCTTTCTTTCGTCGAGTAATTATTTTAACCGATACAAGTAATCATTTTTCTCTTAATTATTCATTTTCCGCAAAACAAATGAAGTCCAAGAAAAAGATAAGAGACGCCACCCATCATAAAAAAAGATGGTGAGGATTGCAAGCCCTGCTCAAATTTGAAGCAGGGGTCGTGCCCTCCCCACGAAGCCCAAGTAAGGGCCGCAACCCTTGTTGATCTCCGTCGAGGGGCGACAATCCTCACCAGATCTCTCTCTCTCTCTTCAATTCTTTAATTTCAACTTAGCCTAGTTCATCTAGCCAAACCCATCGTGTCGGCGGTCTTATGTATACTTTGAAGAAAAAGATGAGCATAACATAGGAACTGAGTTTCTTTAACTTCAAACGAGTGTCCACGAACGACATCGAAGGACGTTCTCATTATTCGTTTTACATATGTTTTCGTCGCCCGCTTTCCGACATGTACGACTCTACGTTACGAGCATCTATTGCTGGCGATAGTATACTCCTTAGAGATGAGAACTGGAATTGGTCAGGTGAATACGGCAAGACAGTTGGGCTTTGCTTGACCAAAAAACTGAAGACCATATGAAAACCAGATGGAGACAAACGTCGCCGATCTGACCAAATCAACATCGTTTTTCAATATTTATCGGAGGTCGACGACTACTAGAGAGACGCATGGATATGAACACAAAACGCAGTCGAAATATGAATCTGCGCGTGGAGTCTTGGGAATCCCACTTCGCTATCCACGAGATAATATCCTAAGAAAGTCTGAAATGAGGGCATTGATTCAGACATCACCAGCCCACAACATCGCCACCCCATTGATACGACCCGATCCATGTTTGCATTGGTATTTTCGAGAATGATTATCACACGTCTTGCCTTAGAGATCATTGACATTGGGAGCCTGAGCCGTCTGTCCCGTAATCGAGTGGGCTCCACCCATGCGTTCCTTATTTAACTTACCGGTATCTTCACGCTCCAATCTCTTCTTATTGAATCGGAATCTTTTTCTTGATCTAAACCAACTTCATTTTTTTATCCCGTGGTCCAAACGAGACCTTTTAAGAACTTGCCAAAATCCGCACAAATAAATCGTAAGAAAATCTAAAATGGGCTCATCGATTCAGACCTCGCCAGACCACGACATCTTAGTCCCATGGATACGACCTGATCTGCTGCTGCATTGGGATTTTCGGAAACGAGGATCACATGTCCGATGCGAACCCACGTCGTCATCGTATCTACAGAAGGACTGTAATGCAGAGATTGTTGAGCCTGCGAATCTTTTGATGGCGATCGCAGCCGCAATTTGTATTCTTTGGTTGTTACTGGGAGTCGGTGAAAAAAGTGGTCGTGCCCGCCGCCATCTGAAAACGAAATCAGCTCCCAAAAGAGCAGTGCCAATCATCGGTCTTAATCGCTTAATCTCCTTCTTTAGCAATGTTCAAATAAACGAAATCAAGAAAACTGCCTTCCACTTCTTACCCGAGAGGGTTGCGGGGTTAGAAGTGATCGTTGGGCGGGCTCCAGGACAAACCCCCGCTCTAAATTCGAGTCTACCTGTGGCCTGCGCCCACCTATCATGGTGCAGTTCCTCGGGCCGGTCGGGCTTGACTCGGGGCCGACCGGGCTGGCCTAGGCTTAAAAGAACATCAACAAGCCTACACCCCCATGAATAAAAAAATCCGTTCGTTTCCTATAAATGTTTAGGTCGGCACTTGATGAGCCACAAGTCCGGCTTCAAAGAGGGAAGCGATTTACATTTGCCCATATGAAAAAGATTGAATCGGTCGGCCCTCACACAGAGGGCCTAAACTTATTGTCCCAAGTTCACCCATTTGACGAACGGCCAAGTCCGACTCATCCATTCGTCAGGCTGATGATCGAATCTAAAACCTAATAACGGAGCCTGGTTGAGTATTGCTAGAATCGGACATTGCCTTGTACAGTAGTGCCCTCCTAGTGTTTTCATGAAAGGAAAAGAAAAAGAACATTTTTCCAACCTAAATTCATTGCATCTGGCATTAGCTTGGCCAGTCAGATTCAAAAGAGACAAAGAGATGAGGACGAATTATCGAGAAATAGCACAAAATTCCAATTAGAAAAGCTAGAGAAAGGTGATTCCAAATTCTTACCATCACTGTTTAGAGTACAACTTCTTCTTTTTTTCCCTTGACCGGAAATAGATTGGATGGGAAAAACAAAAGAAGCCCAGTCTGATCAGAAGCACGCCCACCTTTTTTAGTTCCAAATTACTTGTGAAGAGGATAATAGAATCTTCCTTCACGACAAAAAAAGTCAAAAAAATAATTTAAAAAAAAAGCTATTAAAACAAATTCCACGTTGTGGAAAACATGTCTCCAACTTTTCTCTTTCTCCTTTTTCTAAAATCTCCAACCTGCTCCTCGTGATTATCCTAAGCTTTGATTTTCCAATATTTAATTGGCCAATCAATCTAATCCAACGTACGTCTGGCATTCGTAAAGAACGAAAATTATTCTACCAATGGTTATTGTATATGTTGATTTATAAACGCTTTAAGAGTTCGAAATCTAATTCTTTCTTTCTTTTTCGCCAGCCGGCTTTGCTTGACCTATCATGCCATTGCCATATGTCCCTCGTGGTCGTAGGGAAACTCCAGGTAAAGTTACATGCAATCGCCATCCAATTTCTGACTCGCGTCGCACGTGTAAGGTTACAGTCCTTGTTTATTAGGATTTCCTCTCTAAACGTATCACCGACGCTTTTTGACTTGGCTTTCGGTGGATCCCATCACTAGGGCGCGCCACGACATTTCGCATTCCAATCCAATCAACATCAATCTCGTCGCTAAGCTTTGGTTTTCGATTTTTCATGTGTTTCCACCTGGTTCCGGTCGATGTTTGCGAGTGATTGTCTGGCGCGTTATCAGTCATACGGGTTGTTGTCTATCTAAATATAAACATGTAGAGAAAATTATCTAAAGAATTTTAAATCGATTGCACTTTTGTCAATTTAGTCATGAGCCTCAATTGAGTTCTAAATCTTTTGACTTCTTGCCAATTGAATCCAACCGGCCAATTTTGATCGGGAATCGCTAACGTGGACGCCGGCTATGCCACGTAGGATGGCCAGCGTTGACATGGATATTTTAAATAAAATTTTAATATATTTTCAATTTTTTTATTATTTCTTTTCTTTTTCTTTTTTTTCCTTATCTTATCTTCTTCTTTTTTTAAACACCGGCCACAGGCCTAGTCTGCGCGAGGGCGTCACATCCTTGCCAACCACGGATGAGGGTGTCGGGCCTCGCCTGGATCTAGGCGAGGGTCGCGAAGCTTTGCCTAGTCTGGGTGAGGGGGTCGCGGCCGTCACCTGGATCTAGCCAGGGTGGCGGCCGTGATGCCCTTGCTAACCACAGGCGAGGGGCTTGTGGCCATCGTCTTTGGCCGGCGAGGGCCGCGACACCCTCGTTCGCCAGAGGTGTAAAAAAAAAGAAAGAAAAGAAAAATAAAATATTTAAAAAATAAAAAAAAATGTTAAAATATTATTAAAAAATCGTCTATTTCAGCGCCGACTGTGTCACGTAGGATGGCTGGTGTCCACATTAGCATTTATAGCCGAAATTGACAGAATGGAATCAATTGGCAAAAAGTGAAAATATTTAGGACTCAATTGGTAAAATTAATAAGTTTAGGACTGAATTTATAAAAGTGCAATAGATTTAAGACTTTCTGGACAATTTTCCCCAAACAGATATGTTATTATTATTTAAGGCGAGGTCAAAAGTCATCACTTCAATTCTAAAAGAAAAAGTTAGAACATGCGCATGGCGTTGATGACATATTCAGATGACCTTATCCAAAATACTTCAGCTAACGCGAGCCAAACCCTGAACATCAATATCTTCCCGCATCACGTTTTCGACTTTCATTTTTTCCAATAATCAAGCCTGAAGACCGGGTCGAATTTGTCTTTAGGGGTTAGAATCAAGTCAACCCAAAACCCTCCGTCAACCGATGTGCTCTTGCATGATGCGTGAATGAAGAGATGAGAAGTTGAAAGGTAAGAAGGTCCAAGACTCCGAGCAGAAATTGTCTAAACAAGCAGGATTTTAATATCGTATAACGTCGATCATCCAGGGAATTAATCGAGATATAATACTATGACCCAAAAAAAATCAACATATAATACGAATGTTAGACCAGAACGATGGCGGTTTTTAGGATCTAGTGAACCATTCGATCGTTGAATGGAGTTAGTGGCAGTTGCATGATCAACAGTCAAATTTCCCCAAAGCCATATTAGACTGGATTTAGGTAAGAAATTGCCTCGAATAAGAAAACTCATGTTCTAAGTTCTTCACTAAATTTTCGGGACAATTGCCAAAAAAATCTTAAAACTATTACACTTGCGCCAATTCAGTCATAAACCTAAACCTTTCAATTGTGCCAATTGAGTTATAAACATTTTCATATTTTACCAATTGAATCCATCCGACTAATTTTGGCCAGAAATCGCTAATGTAGACGCTGGCGGTTTTACGTGACATGGTCCACGCTAACATGGACATTTTTTAAATATTTTTGTTTTTCTTTTTTTCTTTTCTTTTGGACCGAGGGCCGGCAAGGGTTGCTGGCACTGCAAGGACGTCACGGCCCTCACCCAGATCTAGGCCAAGCAAGGGCACTGCAATCTTTGCCGAGTCTAGGTGAGGGCTGCATTACCCTCGCTCGATGTGGGTGAGGCCGCGACTCTCAGATTGGGCAAGGGCGTCTTGGTCCTCGCCTGTGGCCGGCGAGGGTTGACCGGCGACCTTTGTCAAGCCTCAGTCAAAAATAAAAAATAAAGAAAAGAACAGAAAAAAAAACTTTAAAAATTTCAAAAAATTATTAAAAAATATCCATGTCAAAGCTGACCATGCCATGTAGGAAGTCAACATCTACGTGAGACATTTTTGGCCAAAATTGGTCGTATGAACTTAATTTGTAAAATGTGAAAAGGTTCAGGACTCAATTAGTACAATCGAAAGATTTAGAACTGAATCGACACTAATGCAACAGGTTGAGGACTATTTTGGTAATTTCTCCTAAATTTTATACTTGTGTGCTAGCTTGTGGTTTATATCCTTGTAAACGTATGATTTGGAGTGTCAAACTATGGATGAGGATGTCTACTATCATGCTCCATCTCATGTCCCATTCACTAACTAGATTGAAACATGTCCATTTCGCTTGGTCTCAACTCGCCAAATCAAATTCCCACTAAATTTGAAATACCAACTTCCACCCCCTCCTCTCTCTCTCTCTCTCTCTCTCTCTCTCTCTCTCTCTCTTCGAAAATCCAATTTAAAAATTTAAACTGATAAGTGCAAAGAGATTGCATGAATATAATGAGCATAGAAATCACATAGTCAAGCAATACGAAATTCTTTAACATTCTCTCTCGTGTGGAAGCCAGATGAAGAATGACGCGTGGAATTTGAGGAATGGAGTGGACAAACACGCGAAAGAAACTAGGGAAGAACCCGACTCTTATATCGTGTTAGAATATACAATCTAAAAGTTTAAGTTAAAGGTAGAGGGAAACCATATATATATAAAGAATATATAAATCTCATAAACAAACGATGTATGATATTTTAACACACGTAAATACACACACTCTCTCTCTCTCTCACTCGTCTACTCATGCACATGCTTGTTCGCTTGTCTTTCTCTCTCTGTTCTCTTGACTCTCACATCAAGCATGTTGCGGACGATACAGCTTTGAGCTCCACCGGCTGTCAAGCTCTCAGTATGGCAAAGGAGGGAGGCGGAGAGAGTGATAGGGGGGGGGGGGGGGGGTGCGGGGCGGTGTGAGGTGGGTCGGTAATCGTGACAATGACGATAGAGGTGATGGCGACCCGATTGCACTAGCTTGGAGAACAATAAACTACGGCAAATTGAGGCTAGATACAGACTGCCGAGAGAGAGAACGGGGAAGGGTTTGAGCTAGGGTTTTTAGAAATTTGATCGGACGGAGCGATACAAGCAATTTGAGATATTTCAACTCTCACTCTCCTATGCGGCTTGCTCTCTTTTCTCCCTCTTTGTTCTCTTAGACTGTCACATCAAGCATGTTGCGTACGATAGAACTTTGAACTGCAAGTTGAGCTTTCACATCAAGCATGTTCCATGTTTTACTCACATATTAATTTGCATCCTTAATTAATCAAAACTTATTATTAGCATCTCACACTCACAACCTTTGATAAAAAGATCAAAACACCCTCTTCAAAAAAGACACCAAAATAATCCTAGGTTTAATTATGCACCAAACCATCAACTTGCGGCAATCAACCGTCGCAACCTGTAACCACCAAAAAGCTCCGTGATGGAGCTCGCGGTAGCCATAGGACTAGATTGGTTCATTCGACCTGATCTGGACCACATTCGAGGTGGAGAGTGGCCGACCATTGATCTAAAGTCGGCAACCATCGCGATGGTGATTGGCTCCACACCAAGGCTGGTGAGTAGGAGAGAGGAGGCTAGTTAAGGAAGTGGGTTGTACTTTCAGGGCAGGGATAATTTGGAGAAAATTACCAAAAGAGTCCTAAACCTATTGTAATTGTATCAATTCAATCCTAAATATTTTGCACTCGTATCAATTTAGACACCTGCCGACCGGCCTACACAGACGTGGAAATTTTTTAAATATTATTTTTATTTTTTTCGAATTTATTTATTTATTTTTCTTTTCTTTTCTTTTCTTTTGCCCTTTTTTTTCACTTTATCTTCAACCTCTGGCCGACAAGATCGGCTCCGCTGGCCGCTGGCGTGGGCGAGCCTCAACCTCGTGAGCAACGGCAGCTGGGCGAGGCTTGGCCCCATCGATCGCTGGCGAGGGCAAGCCTCGACCTCACAAGCGACTGCGAGGCCAGTGGCTGGGCGAGGGCGAGGGCGAGGGCGAGGGCGAGGGAGAGCCTCGCCATATCTGGCGAGTCGAGTCTCACCCAGCTATGGTGAGCCTCGCCCAGCCACCCTCGCCAGCAGCTAGTGGGGCTGACCTTACAGGCCCCGTCTCTATCCAGTCATCGGATTGATGATTAGCCAAAGGTTGAAGATGAAGTGAAAGAAAAAAAAAATAAAGGGAAAAAGGAAAGAAAAGAAAAGAAAAATTAATAAAAAATTTCTAAAAAAATAATATTAAAAAATTTTCACGTCAGCATCGGCCTACAAACCGGCATTCACGTCAGCACCGCTCGGCCAAAATTGGCCTGATGGACTTGAATTGGTACAAATGTAAAAGATTTAAGACTGAATTGGTGCAAAAAAAAGGGTTTAAAATTGAATTTGCACAATTACAATAAATTTAGCACTGTTTTGGTAATCTCAAAAAGTCCTGCAATTCTCCCATTTTTCTAATATGAAACGAGCATGCAAGCTGAAGAGGAATAAAATAAGGAAAAGAACTGTAGAAGAGGGTAGATGTGTGAATGTGTCGTCGTCAACCTAGATCTTTGCAATAAAGACGAACTTTATCTAGAAGATGTAGAAGCCCCCCCTTTTGAAAGGAAAAGTCGCAAGAGAATACCTTCTCCCTAATAAATCTCATGTAGGGACATGACTCAACGTGGCGTCCTAGCCTTCGTAGGTCGTGCCCTAACAAATTATTATATCAGCATCTAACCTCACTTATAAAAAAACGCAAATCTCCACGTGTGGTTCTCAGATTTTGGGTTGACGAAGTGGTCCAGAAACTCATCCTCATCGAAATTTCTCCTACCAAATCGTCCGACGTTCTCGTTGGACAAGTACGCCACACCTCGATAAGAAAACCTTCTAGTTAACTGCTACTTGGTTGCATGTAATAGGGCAAGTTTGGCTGGTTCACGACGTTTTTCTTCAGCCTTCTTTCGACATATAATGGGAACAAAAATACAGATTTCACATGGAGGCGTATAATTATTCAAAATCCAAAAGTTCTAATCTTAATCTCAATATGGACGATCTATCTTTGATCATGCTTGGAACATAGAATTGATGAGGTGCGTCAGCATTTAGGTAGAGAAGAGATGGGACTAGAGCATGTGATCAGTCGATCGATCGATCTAACAGTGCTTGCTAATCTCAAATCTAAAATATGCTCAAGATAGGTTCTTGGCACCCGATCCAGAGGGGAAATTAAAATGTGAGGCACGTGGATCTGACTTAGGCCCAAAATAAATGAGTCGATATGTCTAGTCAAATATCATGGTCAGTCTTCAAATTAGTCGAGTCATGACATGGCTCGTCGGCTAGAATTTCATTCATTTTGGAGTAGATTAGGTCGTGCATCGTGACTCGCAATTTAAAGCTGCTTGAATTTTCCAACGAGGAATAATGCTTACATTCCGTTGCCCGATTCATGCATCTACTCTATGTCTGCATTGCCATGCCAATCAGTGTGCGATTGAACTGACTTTTACTTGTATGTCTTTGAACATGTGTCTGCTTCTTGAACTTAGAATTTTGACTTCTGTTCAATATTGAAAAATTTCGATTTCTTCGAAACGTTGCAAAAATGTCAAAGGCATCCAAACTTTACTTAATAATTTTCAGAAAACTTCAAATATTACATATTTCGTATGGGCGGAAAAGGGGTAATTGTCAAAAAAGAAAAGATATATTGAATCAAATCATATCGATTTTTACTGCGGCCTACCATATATCTGTCAAAATGGATCATAGATCCATTTCTTAACTCATATTTGATGGACCGAGTTGTTATATGAATTAATTATATTCACTAAATGAGTTTAGAATAGCAAACCCTAAATAATATGGGTATGAAATAGGTTCACAACTAATTTAGACCTAACCCATCTTCATAACTCAATTTTCACTCTCTCTTTCTCTCGCTCTCACTTGATCTCATACTCGTTCACTCTACGCTCTTACCTTTGTTGGAGTATAAGTTTTCTTAGAATTTGTTAAATATGATATTATTTTAGCAATATTGGTTGAGTCGGGTTCATGTTGGGTGTAAATCACTAAATTTTTTTTTGGCAAAATAAGTCACTAAAATTGTATTGCATGAAAATTGATCAAAATGGGTTGAATGAGTCAATTTTGATAGGATCATTTTTGACTCGACCCGACTTGATCCACTTGTTTGACGGGTCTAATCTATAGCTAACGCTTGTTTTCGCAGCAGATAGATGATGAATCGAAATTTAACTGATAAGACCTCGACTAAACATTTCCTAGACGAATATTTTTCTCCATGGTATGGGTTCCTCCTTGACATACGCCTGCCGTATGCCGTACGGCATCTAATAAAGCTCGGAAGAGTCCGTAGTCAATCACGTGATAAGATTGCGCTTCTTTGATTTTTATGATAACGTATTTAATCCACCCTCGGGCTGACTAGCGGAAACTTCCGCTATTCAATTCTTTCGAAAGAAAAATCTGCCAAAAAAAAAACAAAAGTAGAAAACAAAAATGAATCAAAAAATTCTGCAGTTGCCTTAGATCAGAAAGATTGGATTATTTAATCTTGTGTTCAAAAAGGGATTAGATAGACTCGACTAACTTAAAAGTGGTGTTTCTCAAGTAGCATTAGGTAAAATCCACAAACGTCAACATAAAGAAAAACAAATATGATAAACTATGGTCAAACATGCAATCCACTCAGTTATAATTTCATAATCACCATTTTGATCTTTCTTTCCATTTCAACCTACCACAGAACCCTAGCATGTGCTAAGCACCAACGTTAATTACAGATTAAAGTATGAACCCCAGCTTCTTTTCATTTTTCACGTAGTCTTTTCGAATTTGGTCACAGTGACATAATATTTAATCAGACCCAAAGTCGTACTTTAGCTTCTTTCCAGCCCATTTTTTTCCAACAGGATGGACTCACCCCAAGTCTTCGCACAATTTGGCCCGGAGATGAGGTCGGGTGAAAGAGGTCAATTCGAACACAAATTCCTTTCCATTTCTAGCAAACTACACAAATTACAAGGAACTCTTGTGCATGAAATTTAAGTAGCCGAAATAAATAACGATTAGTGCCGTCATCGCGTGTAGGACCGAGCGACAAATCACTTAAAAAGAAAGAAAATTTCATCCGCAAGCAATCCTTGCCTCAATAGCCCTACAATTGTTCGGTGACAACCCGCTCAAAACGGTGTGAACACTGATCAGGGACGGCATCTTCCTTCCTAAGTTTTAATTCCTTTTGCAGCCCACGAAAAGCAAAGAAGAGTAGACGCAAAGAGAGAGAAGAGAGAGAGAGAGAGAGAGGCACGCACGCATAATGTTTATTTATTTCAATTGAAAAGGATGTGCCTCTGTGTTACTGTAGCAATGGCGGCTGCTTGGAACCGACAACAGTCCATTCATATATAGAAAAGTTTCACTTCATAAAAACCTAAGAAGGAAAAATTGATCTTCTCTCTACGTTTTGTAGCGATAAAGAGTAGTATCTGTGTAATCAAGCAACCCTCCCTTTCATAATTCATTTTGTGAAACAGAGCGTTGCGCGTTCATGCTTGCTCATTATAAAGGTGGCAGACCGTCGGAGCACAGGCAAGTACGTCGACTATCCGCCTGCCGCAGACACCACGGGCGATGAGGAGGAGGAGGAGGAACAACGACCCCCCACGCAGCACCAACTCCCAAACCAGCAGCAGATACATCTAATGGATGAGGCGGTCATGCCGATGTACTCAGCGTATGGTCGACCTAGTGAGATGTCGGCGATAGTTTCGGCTCTAACGCATGTTGTCTCAGGGACGAGAGGCAGTCAACACGGAGGAACGTACCGCTCGACATCGACTTCTTTATCGGCATACGATTCGGCTTCAGCTGGCAGCTCATCACAGCTTCCATGGACTCATATTGGGCAAAAGAGAGAACGTGATGAAGCAGGAAGTTCATCACAGTTTTTGGCCGAGTCTCCCTCAAGTCAGAGGGATTACTATGGGATCTATAATAGCGGTAGTCTTGCGTTAAGAGAGCCATCTACTATTTCATCTTCCATAGCTGGTTAGTCCCAAATTCTAGATTTCCTCTATCTCCATCTAATCCTTTAATTTCTTACAAATTACTAAAAAAAATGTTACCATCTTTTCTTATTCCAAGAAAACAAAAGGAAAACGAGGGAGTGAAAGAGATGAAAGTCATTATTTATATACCCACCGTTAATAGAGCAAACTTTTTGCCCATGCAGTGTTAGGATTTAGATTATATGTGCTGTAAAAAATCTCTATATAATATGAGTAAAACCTACGTAGACGATAATTTCTCTACTGAAATTCTCTTCTTTTTCCATCTTTTATTAGTAGGAATACCGTATTACTTCCCACAAACAAGAAACTTCTCATTTTGATTCGTGGAGTGGTGGAAAATGGCTAAAGGTTACCCCTAAAATCTAAGCACTTTTCATAAGATCACTAATGTTTGTGTAAATACTTCCTTAGGTGGATCTAGTAACCCTAATCACTTGTTCTTCTTCTTCTTCTTCTTCTTTTCTTTCTTGCTTTCCATTGCTAGGGTTTACTTGGATCTCGGTTTTCGCCGATATTGTAAACCCTAAATTTCAATATGTATATGCTAAGAGGGTAATTTCTTCCTCTGCTTCCATATCACACTTATATGAACCTATATATTGTATTCAATATGGTATGAAGCGATTATTTTGTTTTCTTCAACCATTTTTTTAGTGATGAGCTATGAAGGCAATATCTAGGTTATCCAACTTTGCATGCATTTCTGACCAAAAAAAAAAAATGCGTTGGCTAGTCGTGTCATCAATTTCTTGCAGCAATTCACTTATTTTGATTGAGAAAAAGAAAGTTTGGACATGATATCAATAGAACAGTAGATTCTTTTCTCGATCGATCAGTGAAATAATACATCGGTATTATAACTGGAACGCTATATATCTTCAAGGGTGCAATACATTTGAAGACTTCTTAGATAGGATAATGCTATCACAACTAGCTTTTTATCTTTATTCGTTTATAAATTCTGATAGACCTCCGATGCATCTCAAGGACTCATCTATTTTTCCAAATGATGAATAAGAGAATTAAATCGAGTCTGAGTGCTCATCTTTACTTTGAAAGTGAGGATTGAGTTGCAAGATAATTAATACTATGATTAACAGAAAAGCCAATATGCCACAATATATGATAAGAAAACAAAATTTGGTAGTCTATTTCTATTGGTAGTTCATTATATATAAATACGATAAGAATTATTATTTCCTACATAGACGAAATTAAAAATAACGTAATGACGAGTGTATATCTTTATTGTATTAATTTTTTTTACCATAAGATTAATATTTCCGTGTTTTTTTTTTTTATAAAACTGTGTCTTGAATTTAGCATCTCATGTAGAACGTGAGCTTCCGAGGAATGCGAGTAACAAAAACGTGTATGTCCATTCTCTGTACAGGACTACAAGCAGCGACTGTTGCTGCCACCTCCGCTGTCCCGCTGGCACCTTCTGGAGCAGGCGCGCCACCCCTTGAAGGCGGAGAGAGAAGGAGGAGATACAGGGGAGTGAGGCAGAGGCCGTGGGGGAAATGGGCGGCGGAGATCCGCGACCCGCAAAGGGCCGCGAGGGTCTGGTTGGGAACCTTCGACACGGCGGAGGCCGCCGCCCGGGCCTACGACGAAGCCGCCCTCCGGTTCCGCGGCAGCCGTGCCAAGCTCAACTTCCCCGAAAACGTCAGGATCATCCCGCCCAATGTCCAGGCTTACAGTTCCCCTGCCGCTGCAGCGACCCTCGCTGCAGGCTCCGCTCCTCCGGCAATGGCAGCGGGTCAGCTAGCTCCTCCGTCTGTGGGGCTGGTGCCGCTATATCCGAGAGGAGTTGAAGGCGTCAATGTGAGAGACTACTGGGACTACTCTCAGCTTCTTCAAGGGCATCATCAACCTGCGAGTTTGGTGGAGCAAATGATGTATTCTTCACATATGGCTTCTTTACAGTCCTCGTTATCATTGCCCTCTCCGTCTCCGCCGCCGCTGCCGCCGCCTTTTCCTTCATCAGATATATACGGGTCTTCTTCGTCATCTGGTTTTGTCGGTGCTTCTTCCTTTTCTTCTTCATTTCCTCTGTTTTCCCAACAGCAGCCCCAATTAGGATACTTCCGGCCGCAGCCGCCGCCGCCGCCCCCGCACAACCAGGGAAGCGGCGGGGAAGACATTGAGCCGCCGCCATCGTCGGATTCAAGTCATTACCCGTCATCAACCAGTTGAAATTCGGTTCCCTAGATAGCTTCTCTTTGTTTTTTCCTTATTAGAATCATTCTTTTGGGGGGGAGTAATAGTTTTCAGAGCATTGTTTTGTACTCCTTTGGGACGAGGATGATTTTTTTTCCCATGTACACCACTTTTACATGCAAGACTTCTTTCGTATTTTGTATTTGTTTCAGTTACTGTTCTCTTTTCTTATCCTTTCTAATGCATCATACATTTTGGTCTTGCTCAACTTAAATCATTCCTCATTGATCATATTTGTACATCTTAAGTAATTACAGTGCACTTTCTCTGATTAACTCTGTCTAAGACCATGCGCATGAATGCGATCATTTGGTATTCTTTCCGGTCAATAAACCGTGCGCTCACAAGCGATGCCGCGCGAGTTCCTTAGGATCCATTAGGCATGCCCGATGCATGCGAGCTCGACTCGCACGGGCCGCCAGATCCGATGGATCCCGCGGTTCGCTTTCTTGATGGCGACCCGTTTGTCGACGGGCGAGAACGTGAAAAGTGGGACTCGCCAGATTCAAAGTCGCGGACAAGGAGAATGAGATACGCGCTTACGAAATGCACTGATGATGTGGTTCAATCTTGGACAAAATTATTAGTTGAATTCTCCTTCGTGAAAAATGGAAGTTTTAGACCCCACCACATGATTCTTTAGCAATTGAATCATCGCCCTTTTCCCATTGGTGTGAACGATCATGTGGGTCTTAAAGTTTAAAAAAAAGAAGAGGAACAGATAGAAATCGAGTGCTTTTAGCAAAATGAGAAACGTGTGGCAACACGCCAAGCTTTTCTTTGAAAGCAAAAGATTGTTTAGCGACTTACACAATGCATGTTCTGTTCACACCACGTGTCTCTAGCAGCCCTTTAATATAATATAACATAAGTTCCTTTTTTTGTGGGTCGTTACTCGAGTGATAAACGTGCTCGTCCGCCTCAATCAATGTCTAAATTCGAATCGCCGCGCTCGCGCATATTCTTGGGGCCACTTCCAAGAGCATAAATCCGTATTGCCTTTGGTAATTCTCCGATTTGTGTCAGATAGAGAGACTGACAAATCGAATGGAGATTAGTTGGGTGTTGACAATTGCACGCACCTCGTTAATACAAAGTTACTTTTTGTCAGAATTTTTAAATATTAAATAATGCCACAGTCTAATAATTTAAGTTTTTTAAACAGTTAACAGTAGTTCATAAGATTTTACCCCTACATATTAGTAATCACCAACTGTCTAAGGGCTCCGATACATTTTCTGACTACACCCAAATAAAAAAAAAACATAAAAAATTTGTAGAGGTGATTATTTTTAATCTATAATAAGAGTATCCTAAGTATAAGGAAGTGGAGAAGTCATAGGTATTCATGGCAGTTGAGTTAGCAATTCGAGTCGTGTCATATTAATGATATTGTCGAATTATGGGCATATTAGGTCAGCTTATTTGAACCCAACACTGTTTAATCAGAGTGCCGAACTCGCTCACGTGAACATGACGCATCTAATGAAGCACTTCACATGAGACGATACGGTCAATACCATTATGGAACGTATCACTGTGACAAACATCACATGATACACGCATTTAGCATGATTTTACATACAATTTCCATTGACATAAAGATTAAAAGCTTTCTTGATTATAATGTTATAAACTTTTTTGTCCTGAAATATGTTTCGATCTTCTTTCTCTTATTCTTCTTAGTATGTGCGCTATTTTATAACTCTTTTGGGTAGAAAAAAGCCACATGATGCCAATATCAGGGATTCTAAAACATGTCTACTAGCATCGTATTCAAAGATGACATACTAACAACTTAATCTGGATCAATCGGTGTCCCAACAGATTAATCGGGTCAATTTGTATAAGACTAGTCCTTATCGAGTTAGCCCCCTTCACGAAAAAAAAAAAAACCCGTTTAATTACGTCAACTCGGCATCTGTTTAAGTAGGCAAATTCCCGAAATGTTCAACTAATCTCACGAAAGAACCTCATTTTCATGCATTTTCCATGTGATGTGCTTCCCATACTGACTATCCCCCACATACTTTTTCCCCGGATGATTAAACGAAAGGGGCTGCCGTTGCCAAATTCAGATGATTTCACGTGTCCCCATTTGGATTTTTCTTTAAATTAATTTGGTCCATGATTTGAAGTTTGAATAGTTAAGCCCCCAACTGCCCCCCTCTCCTTGTCCCTCTCCTGTCCCAGAAGATGCACGGCCACCCTGTCGCCACGTCAGACGCCACGTGGAGATGCACCTGAAGGTAAAGCCTACCTTATAGCCTAGGGACTGGGTCAAATGCCCCGAGGTCGATCCAACCCAAACGTGTTCCACTGTTGCTGACTCCGTCCTTGTTCCTACTCCGATGCTCGGATTAGACGACACACATCATGCTGCTCCCACTTGTCTGAATCTTACGATCGGGCCGAGCAACATCAAGGAAAAGTTAGGCAAATTCCCCATGCTGGTTTTGCGCAAAAGGCATCGCGTCGTGGGGTCGAGTCGGTGTTGGTATGAGTCATTGGGACACGCGTGCTTTTAAAACGGTGCGCCGGGCGACTCCCGAAAGGGTAAAGATTAGGCCTCCATCAATGGGGTCGCGGTCGGTCAATTGGGTGGCTCACCCACCATTTCTGGTGAAGGTGGATTCTTCTTGTGTGTTTGGACTTGGTCTTTTGCTTAGTGGTGTTGTTTGAATGGGGATAGTTATCCAAGGAAAAAAAAAATCATAAATTTATTGTGCGAATGTCGATTCAGTCCTAAATATTTTGATTTGATCAATTTAGTCCTGAATCTTTTGACAATTTGCTAATTTAGTCATTCCGACTAATTTTGACTGAAAATCGCTGATAACGTCGGCATTGACAATTTTTTAATAATATTTTCTGAATTTTTTTCTTTTTTTTTTCCTTTTTTTTTTTAACTTAGGGCCGGCGAGGGTTGGCTGGTGAGGCGCCATTCGAGAAGGGCTACAATTGGTACGTGCAAGAAATAGGCCAATTCGGGGCTTTTTGCTCAATTTCATGCGAACTCAAATTCTCATCGGTACGAGTCAAGGGAACAGCCCCCCGTCCTTTGATTTCCATATAAAGAACACGACGAGCATAGAAAATGGGATCAGCCCCCATTGTGTATTGGTACTTATTGGATATAGAATAGATCTGCTTCTCTTTGTTCCTACGAACCGAATTGTTCGATTTTTACTTCTATATGAAAATACGGAATTGTCGCAGGCCCTTGATGTGGCTAGCAAGGGCCTTGCAGCCCTCACCCAAAGCCCTCGCCGGCCACAATGAGGGCGTGCGAGCCCTCACCCAAATTTGGCAAGAGCCCGAGGCTGACAACCTTCGCCAAGGTTGCGAACTAGCAAAAGGGAAGAAAAGGAAAGGAAAAAATTCAGAAAAAAAATTCATAATTTTTTTTAAAATTTGTCCATGTCGGCACCAGCCATGCCATGTACAACAACCAGCATCCACGTCAATGATTTCCAATTAAAATTGGCCAGAATGACTACACTAGCAAATCGTTAATATATTTAGGACTAAATTGGCCAAATCAAAAGGTTTAGGACTGAATCAGCCTCCGTACAATAGGTTTATGACATTTTTGATAATTTTCTCTATCTCAATGGGCTTGACTCAACATGCGAAAACCGATGGCCGGGATTGTATTCATACAACAACACGCTCGCAGATTCGATTTTCAAAAGTATGTTCATTATGTTGTTGGCATAGATGATACGACCCGACTTCGGTACAAATGTTGGGCTGATGAATTACATTATGAATTCCATAAATAAGATGATGATGATGAAGCCTAGGTGTATGCTAAGTACCTCATTCGCATTAGTATGAAATTATGGATCTCGAGGATTGTTATTAAAATAAGAAAAGGGTACACGCTAATCGGCAACTTATTGTTCATCTATAATGATTTTTAACATATGTACACAAAGAAGCGGTGCGCTCACTGCTAGTTTACAGCCATATGAAAAGATTCTACACTTGACGTGACTAAAACCCGACGAACAACGAAAGAAAGACGCTTTAAATCTTAAATAAATCAATAGGCACGACTCGAGCCGGTAGTTCACCGAAAAGAAATTGTGTCGGCCCATGTGTTTTATATGGGAAAGCCCACATTTCCCATGGTTTACTTTACTGACGTGATCAAATACAATGTTGTTTAATTATTTTATCTTTGGTTTATGTCTCCCCTGTTCTTGTCGGTCATCAAAGGTTTCGTCTGACATTTGAACGATGAATGATTTCATCACGGGGGAGTACTATAATTGTGGCCCTAGGAAAGCGCCAAGTGATGTCTAGTGGTTAGGAGTTTGGTCAAGGGTATAGGTTGGTCAGGTCACGGTTTGCTACGTTTCGGGAAACCAAAGATGACAAGTTCCAAAAAAAAAGAGAAAAAGGGAGGCAGAATCTGAGGTGGTCGTCGCCTTCTCGGTTAGATAGGTGATGAGAAATGACCACAACCGAACTCCGCCAGCAAAGAAAAGCTTGCCAATCTGTGGGTGGTAATTGGGTCTAAAGCATCTGGTAGCACTAGGTGTCATATTATGTTTGAATGTACCTATTTTAAGTCAATCTGTCACCAATATAACAAGCTTGTCTTGTTTCGGTGTACAGCACTTTAGGTAGGGACTTGGTAGCCCAAACAAAATCGAATGCGACAAGATTGGATTAGATAAGAAGTTCCTCGAAATGTTCATATCCTTTCGAAGATAGTGAAGACAAGGGCAGAGTTTCGATTCCACATGTTCTTTGAGATAGGTGCAAGGCATCTAGATCCAAGAATACTTTTGACTTTGTGTTCTTTCTTTTGGCTAAATTAATACACTAACAAGGCCCAAACCCAAGGAGCCAGGATCCTTATCATCTTAGGGTCATATTACTCTTAAACTACTTTTGCAGATTATGCATTTTCCACAGAATCAAAGGTACGCAACATGTTGATCCATCTTTAGGTTCATTCATTGAATACACGCGCGGATCAATATTATGCATGCCATGAGTCAGATTTCAGATGTACTCTACAGATAGCGCCTCTATATATTCCAGGATTAGTGTTATAGGAGAAACAATTTCATGATTACGCTTGCGTATGTAACTTTATCAGAGTGTAGTATGTGAAGGAGCAAAAATCTTTATAGTACGAAAACTTCAAATCTAAAGCTTGTATAGATCCAGAGTTAATGGAAAGGGAGAAAATGATCGAGGGATAAACCTGAAGCGATGAACCGCTATATGTAGAGTGCAAAAACTGCACCAAGCAGGCAGGCAAGCACAACTTTTCTTTTCCTTTTTCCCCCCTAAAGAAACTTAAAACTTCTGTAAGCCTCATGGAACGAATAAGCTCTTTCGGAATCGAACCGAGAATTCCACATTTTGCTATAACATGTGACCACGTTCAACATATTGTCTCGGTATTGCCAAATATCAAAGCAAGACCAAAAGTGAACATGACAATACCAATTCTATGCACCGACAAAAGAGATCGAGAAGTGACATCTAGTGTATGAAGCGATTTGCTTCCACCACCTTTTTATCATACGATCACAAGTATGGATCGATAAACTGCTCGACTGAGTTCGTGTAAAGACAAATTTGAACATTCCAAAGTCAGTCCCTGCTATAGGCAATGCAAGTCAAAGATGGCCTCTGCGTTCTAAAATTTACCAAGACCATTGCCCAGCTTTTTATCTTCAACCAACAGCGAGAGAGTGCAAGTCTAGTTTGGCATCGGATGAATATGGGGAATGCAACTGATCGGTCTGAACAGATGGAAAGCACAGATTTCAAGTGCCTAGAATACTGGTTATATACAGAAACAATATAGCCAGCAATACAAATTTAATCCGCGGGGGCAGACAAATGTGCCAGGAGAAAGTAACACATTAAGAAGACACTATTCAAACATTCCTATTCAACAGCTCAGAGGAAGAGATATATAGCACACAAAAAGAACGGAAACAAAGGGAGCTAACATCAGAATTCAGACCTGAAATTGGCATAAAATGACTGCTCCTGAAAGACACTAAATTTCAACTTGAGGCCAGAGTTTCATTTTGGTTTGCATGCCAATCATTGATACCAATTACAAGCGTGTTTCGCTCGAGGGAATGTAGCTTCTCTCTGTGAACGTGGAATTCACGAGGACCTCAGGCGCAATTTCCCAACTCCCACTTCTCACATAACTTGAGTGCCGATTTTCAGATTTAATGGTTGGAGCTCGATGTCCTGAAGCCATAGGGGAGTCCACCATCATACTATTTTCTGGAGTTCCATTGCTTCCTCTACTTTGAACATCTTGATCGAGTTCGATATTCCGACGCTGGGAGATTTTGAGAAAATCTTCACCAATGTCCAAATCCTCCTCCACCTTCGGGCGTGGATTTGCGCCGAAATCTTCTATCTCTGATTCTGCTCCTCGTTCGCTGGGTAAAACAGGTCTGTGCACCTCTTCTTGGACAAAAGCTCGGAAATTGTTCCTTGACGGCTTTACCTCCGTGCAGAACACTTCAAAAAAATTACTGAAGCACCCTAAGTCATAAGCATTGAACCTGTTTTCCGCTCTGTACCGGAAATTCTCGTATGTTGTCTGGAAAATCAAGTGTTTTTTGTCACAAATCAGATGAAAGCGCTATTTAGAAGCTGAACTCATGTTCACAAATGGGAACTAAGTTAGACATCTTAATCTACAAGCAAATGGCCATTAAATCCTTGTCGGAAACAGAGAAAGGCAGCCTTAAAGAGTTGCAAAGAAAGACCAAAGGATGCATCGAAGTGCTCATAAGAAAAGATCTATCAGACCCTTGATTGCAGTGGAAAACATGCACCAAAATCTCATTCAGGCTATATTTGCTAAGGATATTCAATCCATCGCATCAGCAAAAATATCAAAACCTTCCTAATATCGCGAACAACGGACTGCAGAAAACTTAGTTTTCTGTACAGAAATTCACCAAAAAACAAATCATAAAGGTAATACTCTGTTGAACCTTCAGAATATTAAATTCCAGAGCACATAAACTATCCAATATTTCAAAGAGGAATGACTGCTCAATCCCTCTATGCTCAAAAATTTGACAACACTAGAAGTTCTTTTCATGCTTCACTGATTTGCTAGTCCATTATAGTCACTTTCAAACAAAAGACATTACTTACAGGGTATATTTCGGTATAACAAAACCAAGACAATACTATCCCAGCTAAAGTGCCGGAGAGCCGAACGGCTTGTAACCAGACATGAGACAAATGATGAGAGCAAACATAAGGAATAACAGTGAATGAAGCAATATTTAGGGAAACTTTAACAGCATCAATTCAGTCCAAGAGATGGAACTAAAGGAGCTAAAAAATAATGTGCAAAGACAACCAATTAAATGACATGATCCCTCTCACATTGTGTGAATGATGCATGAGACTTACTTGATTTGTCCCTATAAGATACAAATGGAAGCCTGTGAGTCCACCGACAAACCATAGAGAAATAAAACAGTAAGCCATAAGTACGACAGAGGCAGGTGACTCCTTCATTGCCTTCCAAACTGGACCTCGATACTCATCCATCAGAACCTTAATGTAGAAAGCAGACATCGCGAAAACATAGATACACAGAAGAGTGGCTGAAGATACAAACATGAAGAAGAAACGGTAGTTGCGCTGCAGCAGCAAAAAGGCAACAATCAGTTAGGCAAGCATAATGTTGAAAAGTGTGACTGATTAACAGCCTTAACCACTACCAAGAGGCATATGAAGAACATACAAAAGCCCCGTGTTCACAATAGCATACCATTCCAATACATTGGCCCACCCAAGGGCAATGGTGATCAAAACGCTCAACGCAGTTGTTACAGATAGAGCAATGAGAACAACGAGGAGGTCGATACAGCATGCATGTATCACAATACTTCACTCTCACAGTAACACCATTAACCAGAACATCTCTCGTGCGAGGAAACTGAAGGCTAGGCGTTTGTCTTCCCCCAATTTCAACTGATGCTGAGGAGTCAAAGCGCAATACTTCTTCTGGTGGATGTGCATTCCGTGGGACTATACCAGGATCCCGGGCTGAGGTAAGAAAAAGAAGCAGCAACACCTATCAAAATCAACTTTGCAATTACAATAAGAAATGTCTCAACTAACCATAATAGGCATAACAAAAACTTACATATAAAAAAAAACCTCTTAAGTACCAACAAAGATTCAGAAACATCAAAGGATACAGAGGTGAAAACATGCAATAATAGAGCCCATTCAAAGGGCCATTTTCCAATAGATGATGGAAACAAGAGGAAGGATGTTGTCATTTTTTCTCCTTTCATAGCTATATAATACAAACTGAACTACAGACATCTAATCCATGATAAAAACAGAAAATTAAACGTCCAAGTATAACAATGGCCATCAACACTGCATTCAAAGAAAGTAAAGTAGGCTCAGCACCAAATAATTGGGTAGGCAACATCTTCTCAGTAATCTCATTCTACACTAATGGTCTACAAAGAAATACTGGAACACATATGAAGCAATCAGATGGGATGGTTCCGTAATCTTAAGGGCCAGGTTCAGGCAGAGGGACTCACGTAGATCGTGAAGCCAATTGCTACCACCAGCACTGCATATCCAGCATTGTATGAAGAAAATTCATGGCGAAGATGCCTCGCAACAAATATGCAAAAGATGATCATTGGAACTATTATAAGCGCTAATGTCACAATCAATGACCTCGCATCTGGTCCAAATATCAACCTCCCACCAAGAATGAACTTCTGCAAAACCCAGAAGAGGAACGAAAACACCAAATATCAACAGAAAAATCTTCCAAAGCAATAAAATAGCATGACATGAGTATTATAAAATCCAGCAACATCAACAAAATAGCTCAAGAATGAAAGCTTGCACCTCAATCCGGTAGAGAAAAAAAATCACACAAGGAGGACATGAACAAGAAGGAGAAACATTTTAGCTGTAAAACGACATAAATCTGACATTCTGCTGCCAACTTATAGGGAATAACAGTAGCGTGTGCCTGTGCACACATTGGCAAACTACTCCTTTTATCTTTCTGTGTTTTTTTTTTATTTCAGACAAGAGATATGGCAGCGAAAAACCTAAACATCAATTTTGTGCACGTAAAAAGTGTAGTTTGCCTCCTCTTATTGGGATTCTTGCCCAATATTTCATGCTTAATTGTCGCCACCTATGCACTTGATATATTTCTGTTGACTGATAACAAGCTCGCATAATCAAACTATAACATGCACCTGACGGTTAAAGCAGAGAGAAATCACGGCCTTGGTGCCAATTGACTAGCCTTACAACCACAAAGGCTAGTCAATGTGAATAAGTGGGTCTGATTTACAGGTGCTAAAGCAACCATCACTAAAACACAATCGAAACATCCCAAACATAAACTACATCTAAATATGTTAATAAAAATCTTTCGATAGTCCCTCCACTCTTTAAATCCACAAAGTTCCCATATTTTCGCCACTCAAACAGCAGCTCCAAAACAGAAAGTTGCCAACATAAGGATGATGAATACTGATCAGCTTTAAGCCTGTTTAGTAATTGTAGTTGCTGCTTGCTGATAATGGGTTGCAACACTCCTAACAACTTAGATTCTTTTTTCGTTTAATACATTATTCCTCTTTTACTAGCATCAAACTTCTGTTGAGGGACTTTAATAGAGTTTCTGTTCATAAGGTTCTTTGCACAAGAGCCCCTCTGCTTTAAGTTGCAAGGAGAAATCTAGACAACCCTCCCTCAGTTTTTTCCAGTGGATGCCCATGTCTACTTTTCCAGTGGAGAGTCTGGGTACTTTTTGAGATAAGATGGGTTCTTCCTCAACGTTTTGCAATTCTAATCATCCTCCCCCCACCCCCACGCACAAGGCAGGTGACTGCGAGACTATAGTTTTATAGAAGATGTGCACATAACTTCTCCAGAAAGAACCAAGAAAGAGAGAAGTGCACATGTGAGTGTGCGTGGAGAGAGAGAGAGACAGAGAGAGAGGAGGAGGAGGAGGAAGGGGTGTGTGTGTGTGGGTGTGTGTGTGTGTGTGTGTGGGGGGGGTGGTGTGGTTAAGAAAGTGAATAAAAAGATCTTATCCCTCAAACTCCTGCGGAATTGAAGTTTCTGGGAGGAGACTTAATTGCCCTTCTTTTTCATATTAGTAATAACATCTGTGGTCTTGATAAAATACTAGGATTAGTCAGCCTCTCCACATAATCACAAGTCCTGAATTTCACAAAACTCCATTCTAAGCAACAATTAGGGACGAACGAGGCCCCACTAGGTGGTGGCTATACGACTGTCAACAGTTGGCAATTGGTCAAATTTCGTAGCAGTAACATTACATATGATTTTCCATTTAAAAGTGTACCAATGTCCAGCATGTATGACTGTGGAAGGAGAAAAAAGACAAGCAACCCTAGGGGATTGCGCGACAATTATGAGAACCACATGAAGCTCACACCAAGCTAGATAAATGCATAAGTATGCCCCCCAAATATTTTGCAATTACATTAGTTCTTTCTGTCATCCATGCAAATATCCTTTGGTTATTACCAATTTGCAAAGCACATTTACTAGTTTGCCCCACGACCTCATCTTCCCATTGAGCACTACCATACAAGAATCTGAAGTCTAGAGGAAAAAGAAAACCCTGTTAAGTTTACAGCACACTCCATGACTTCACTAACACTTTCTAAAAGATCCCTCTTCAGAATCATGAAAAAGGTAACCAAAGATTCTTGGCTTTAGGGCAAGTTTCGGTTCTTACCGATAGCTTCTCCTCCAGAATTTTGAAAACGGAAAAAAAAAAAAAAAGACATTAGTTAAGTTTCGGATGATGATACACATCTATATGTAATTATTATTTTAAAAGGATTCTTGGAAGAGCAAACAGCTTCTGAAGCTCAAGATGTTTTGCTGATCACAATGATGAGGTCAGTCTGAATCGTTCTCTTGTCCTTGTCCAATTTTTAACAGATAATTGAAAAACCATGCTCTTATTAACAGGCTTCAGAATCCCATATACTGCAAAATTACAGCTGACCACTTCCTCTATATCATATAGATTACAGACCACCAACGACAACCCAATTGAGAACTCTCTAGTCCTTGTCAATACCCTGCTATTTTCAGATTAATAGTTCACTACCGGCACAAAGCAACAGCAGACCACTCATAACAAGGTCACTGGCAAACAAAAGGTGTTTGGTTCTGGTAAATCGGGGGCAGGTTTTCTATAAAATCAGAGGAACTGGCATCCAACCATGTCCTGACTAAGGCTCCTAATCTAGAGTAGATTAAGAAGCATGCTCTAGATATGCAGCTTTGTTTAAGTTACCAGGGGCATTACAAGAGGAGAAAGGAGTGGAAAAACGCAGGGAGACAACAGGAAATCGTTTCTGGGAAACTAGTAAGAAGCATTGAGGAATGCTTGAATCAAGTGCCAATCACTTTTTCCTTCTCAAACACGGTCCCAGCCTAGCTACACAATTGATATTTGCAAGGTGCCATGTACCACTAAGGAGCTGCATTGCTTACTGGTAAACGAATCAATATGCCATCTGCAAACTTCCATCATGACACCAATTCACCTAGCGCAACAAGGCACGGCCAGAAGCAAGAGGGAATGGAGAACCCCATATCCATTCGCCATTACCTCCAAGAACTAGGGGACCAGCACCATCCGCCCTCCACCCCTTTCCTCCCAATTCTCAGCTAAAACAAACCCGTCCCACTTTTCTCCTCAACAAGTCACATCAGTACCTCGAGAGTTCCCTCACTGTTCCTCGGAGCAGCATCTCGAAAGCACCACGCGACAAAAAAAAAAAAGAAAGAAAAAAACCGAACAACCGGAAGCATTCAGCCACCAACAACGCAAAATCAAGCACCACCCGCCATTTTCCAAATAGAGAAAAAAATAAAAAGGAAACCTTGAGGACGCAACCACTCCCGCGACGGAACAGACCCTCCCCCGAAACGACACGCGGAGACCTAATTTCCCCAAAAATCCGCGCGCACCCAGAACCAACGCCGCCGGCGCCGATCAAGGAAAAGGACCCGGCGAATCCCGCACCTAACCCGAGCAGAGGACCGGGGAACCCAGAAAAAAGGGCGAGCGGAAAGAGCCCCGGAAACGGGGGGGAAAGAAGAAGCAGCAGCAAGAAGCAAGTAGCAACAAGAAGAAGAGGAAGCCGCGGCGGAAGGAGGAGGGGGGGGGACTCACGTTGCTTCCTTTCCATGCTTCGTACACGCGCTTGGCCATGGACAGAGAGAGGGGGCGAGAGAGGACGGGGTGGGTAAATGGGGGGGTGGGGGCCTCGTCGCCGCGCCTCTAGGCCAGGATGCGGAGCTCCCGAGCGTGCATCCTCCTTCCGATTGGGCAATTCGAATTCCCCCCGGCCGAGCCCCACAGTGCAGTAGTCAGAGAAAGCGAGGTAGAGAGAGAGAGGGAAAGGGAAAGGGCGGTGATTCTTCGCTCCTTTGGTGCGCGAGCTGGTGAGATTTCTGGGATTTTGAAAAAGGGAGGAGAGAGAGAGAGAAGGGATCGGGGAAGGAGAAGTACTGCTCCGCGAATGGAAAGCACTGTGCTCCCGAAATTTCAAACGGCGACAAAGAAAAAGAAGAAGAAAAGAAAATCAAAGTATCCTATCTTAATTTTTACCCCTTTTCTCCCTTTATTTTGTTTTTGTTTTTGTATTTTTTTCGTTTTTCCCCCCACTTTTTTAATATGGCGAGCCCTATCTTATTAATTTGATTGATTTTTTTTTCTAAACGAATATTTGAGGGTACGGATTCGACGAGGAAGAGTTAATACCGCGAAAAATCTCGAATTGGTATATCCGTGATAAATTTATCCCGGATTAATTTTTTTGACAACCGAAAATCCCAAATCGGTATACCCGTGACGGATTTACCTAGGACTAATTTTTTGACCACCGAAAATTCCTAAAACGGTATAGCCATGACAAATTTACCTTCCGTTAAATTGCATTAATGAGCAACGAAAAATCACAAATTGGTAACCTGTGACAAACGAAGGGGTAAAACCCAAAACTGGTTCCACCCATCAACCGCCACGTGTCATCAAACTCAGCAATTTGACGGTAAAATTTAACGGAAACTAAAAGAGGGTAAATTTATCACCGATGAACTAGTTTTGGGTTGTTAATGTTCAAAAAATTAGTTTAAGGTAAGTTTCTCACAAATGTATCGATTTGGAGTTTTGTGTAGTATTAACCTTTATTTTTTGTTTTCCCCTTTTAATATGGTGAACCCTATGTTATTAAAAAAATAATTTTTAAAAACGAATATTTGAGGGTACTGATTCAACGACTAAAATAAAAGGAAATGAGCAAACTTCAATACATAAGTGTACTAGATAATTTCTTCTCATTTATTAAAAAAAAACATTTCGGTTCGAACTGTGTTTTCGAGTCATCAATCATCTAAATTTGTAGAGTAGGCTTGATCAGCGAGGTCCTAATTTCGAGAACATTATTTACATCGTGCCACAATGAAAAGAATCTCGCCGCCTTGAAAATGGGAATTCCTTTATTTGATTAGCATGCTTAGCCGTGATATTAATAGCGATAACTTTTGCAAATTTTGCAGCTTTGCAACGTCCAGAGCATACGATAAGTGCTTCGTAGTCCGCCTTGTCTTGTACTTGCAGTTCAAGTTTTGTAAACCTAAGAAAGATACCTCTTTGACGTAAATACACCTATTTTCTCCGCATCTAATTCTAAAGAATGTTCGCTTTGACTCCTTCAAACTTTTATTCACGGCTCTCTCGAACACAGATACTTTGCGAAACGTGGCTGCGCCCGTTAAGTGTACGATTACCTTTGCCGGCAATTCGACGGATGCCGGAAGCTTACCAAATAAAAAAAATTCAAACTCCATGATCTCTCTACAGCGAAAACCTTTTGAGAGAGAGGTCCAGCCGGCATCCGAAAACCGGACATCCAAGGACAGTTTGGACAATTTCCCACTTTCGGCCCTCTAAATTTACGTCGAGCGTGCAAATGAATCCTTCATTATTTCAATTTGCACAGTAGAGTACTTAGTCGTCCAACGATGCATAATTAAGTCCATCAATTAACCACGCTTGATGTGATGTGAGGGATGATGCGATGCGATGGACTTTTAAACTAATAGAAGATAAACAACGTGGAAATTCAAAAGGCCCAAAAAGTAGAGAATTTCAGATCAATTGCACAGCCTTTTGAACATTCGAACCGACCGCGAGAGAGAGAGAGTGACGAGGCCTATAGTTTGATTTCCGACCAAAACGTGGAATCCGGTGCAATTTGCCAACATAAATATCTTTTCTTTTGGGTCAAAGAGAACTTTATTAGGTTAATATCACGAAAGGCCTAAAATCGATACATTCATGCCAAATTTATCTCGAATTAATTTTTTGATCACTAATGACCCCAAACCCTATATGCTCGTGATAAATTTACCACGGACTAATTTTTTGATCACAAAAAACCCAGAAATTGTACACCCGTGACAAATATGCCCTCCGTTAAATTGGATTAGTACCACGAAAAATCATAGATTGATAAATTAAAACTCTACACTGGTACACCCGTCAATTGTCACGGGTTATTTAACTCGGCAATTTGACGGTAAAATTTAATAGAAACTAATTTAGGGTAAATTTGTCACAAGTGTACCGGGTTTGGGGTTTTTTGTGGTCAAAATATTAGTTTAGGGGTAAATTTATCACGAGTATACAAGGTTTTGGGTTTTTTGTAGCATTAATCCAAACTTTATTCGATACCAAAGATAATTGGACATAAGATCTCGTAAATGGAGTATCAGAACTAAAACTAATGCTCCGTTTGTTTCGCAAAAAATGAATGATTTTGAAAATATTTTCTCAAGAACAATCGCTTGTATCATTTGAAATAATCAGTTAATGAAAAATATTTTCTTTATCGATAATATTCTATATCCAAACATTTTTACCGACGATGAACAAATTTTCATTTATTCATTTTTGTAAGAGATACGAGCTATCATTTTTAGGAAAATATTTTTCGAATCATTCATTTTCCGCAAAACAAACAAAACCTAAGTAAATTCCAAAGGGCCTGTACTACCAAATTCAATGGAAGATTGTTTTTGCTTATGGGCCTTAGCTACCCGAATCGCTACTTGATTTGCCCCTCTTCAACGGTGGGCTAAGGAAACATTCGAGAGTTGGGCCCAATAGCTCACGGGCCTCCATGATAAGTACTTCCACTTCCCGCGTGAACCGATCCCTGGGCTATTCGACGACTCGAACTACAGCCGAGCAGTCGGGTTCTACTTCAACCAGGAGACGTTCACGTCTTCCGGGGAGAAGGTATTGCAGAGCTCGAGGAAAACGCTAGGGTTTCGGCTTGGATCGCCGAGGAGATCCGCGCCGACTTGGCGAATCCGACGTGGATTGGGCGCGGGACTTGGACATCAAATTGTTGGGAGCTCGACTATTCCATGGAGTTCCATTGCTTCCTCGACCTTGGGACATCTTGTGTTGCCCTGAAGGGCTTTTCAGGCCTTTTTGGGACTTCAGTTTGCTAACTCTTGAATGGACCCAAAGACCCTTTGGGCCCATACGCGGAAGCTAGTAGGCTACCGTCGTTTGACTGCTTTGGAAGTGGCAATTTCTAGCACGACCGGCTAACGAGACTCGAACATCACAAGAAGTTTCAGCTGATTTAGTTTGACGCTGACCGTGTTCGGGTCAGTTTTGTTTCCATCTGTCGTGTTTCGTCCAACTAACCCGACACGAAATCGATTCGTATGACCCGTTCAAATTAACGAGTTAGTGTCGATGTGACTGTTATGTGACCCCGTTTAGATATTATTATCTAAATGCTTATTTGTTCCGCGTTTTTTATTATTAAGATTTTCAATTGATGATATTATATTGAATATGGACACTTCTTCAATTCGATTTGATGATATGTTGACAGTCATTTACAAATTAAAACTTGGGACTACGTTACACATTGTATTAAAATTCACGGACTACATCGAACGAATTAAAAGTTCAAAAACTACATTACATATTGGGCCAAAGTTCAAGGACTGTTTCTGTCATTTTTCCTAGATTTTACAAAACATTGAAGATGTTTGAGCTAGTGTTGGTAGATGGGCCATGTGGCCGTGTTGACCTGGCAATCCGTTGTTTGTTCGTATCGCGAGAGTCGTGTTGTATTAACACGTTAACTTTTTTTGGATTGTATTTGTAGCTGATCATATCATATCTGGGTTTGTTTGACGGCATGAAAATTATACAAATAATCCATGAACTTTAATTCAATATGTAATGTCATCTTTGGTCTTTTGATTCTTAAACTACCAGTAAATGTTCAATTTAGTTCATAGACTATATAAAAATGTTCAATGTCGTGCTTCCGTAAATTCCAATTAACGAAATCTGCCGATATAGCTTCCAATACGTTAAATTTGAACGGTTGATAAAAAAAACAATAAGTATACGCGGATTATCCACGCCATCAAACAACGTTATGTTTGTCATTAGAGCAAAATAAAGGACTATATCGAATATTTACCAATAATTCATGGATCACATCGAATGAATAAAAAATTTAGGAACGACGTCGCACACCGGATCAAAGTCCACTAACCACCTCTCGTCATTTCCCCCTATCTTTGTATAGACACGGCTTGCGAACACGGATCACTGCCGCCCCGGCACCGGCACCGTACCGCCCGGCGGCACAATCGGACATTGACGTTGACCCTGTTTCTCGCGTGGGGTCCGGAAGACGAGAAGTTCCTGCGGTCGCTAGCAAAAGGCAGCACTTTTTCAAAGTGGGAACACGTATTGGTTGGCGACGGGAACAACGCCATTCCATCTTTATAAGCGAAAACGATCAGTCACAAGGACACGTGTCATTTTGGACCGCCGATAAACTTTCAAGTCTTCAAACCAAAACGCAAAAATACTCCGACTTGATATATTTAAGGAAAAAACAAGCCCACAAAAAATAATCTTAAATTGCGCTCATTATGATAAGATTACTCTAATATCGTTTTTATTTCATTTAAATTACGTGGGCGTCTATATAGATATAATCTTGACGGAAGGTAAATATGTTATGCAGGTACGAGTTTGAAATTTTCAGTATCACGGATGTCACGAAAGAGCGTAATTTAAGGTTTTTGGTGTTTTTTTGCCGTATTTTTAATTTCGCAGAAAACGGTAAAAAAATAAAGAAAAAAGGAAAAACAAGGTTGCAAAGTCAATAATCAAACGTACGGTAGAAGCAGAGGACCGTTGACCAGTTCATCGCAGGTCCGACTAGAATGACTCATCTTCCATGAAGCAACCCCCGTTCACGGCGGCTCTGCTCACTCTTCTTCTTCCTTGCCTCCTTCCTCCCTCCTCAGCCTCGCCTCCGTCGCCAAACTGAACTGAGCAAGACTCCCCAACACAATCTCTCTTTCACTCTCTCTCTCTCGGCTACTCCGACATGGACTCCAGCCTCCAAGCAGTCGTCGCCGCCGCCGCCAGCTTCGTCGGCGTCTCCCTCTTCTTCGTCTTCCTCGCCTTCACCTGCAACCGCCGCCGCAAGCGCAACCTTGGCCGCGAGGTCCGGGTCCAGACCCGGTCGATCTCGAACCCGGAGGAGGAGCTCTCGTCCATCGCCGTCGACGAGAGCGCCTCCTTCGACCCCAAGCTCCGGATCTCCATGGACGAGCTCCGGAAGGCCACCAAGAACTTCCACCCCCGGCAGATCGTCGGCGACGGCGGCTTCGGCCTCGTCTTCAAGGCCCGCCTCACCAACGGCCGCACCGTCGCCGTCAAGAAGCTCGAGCCCGACGCCTTCCAGGGGTTCCGCGAGTTCCGGGCCGAGATGGAAACATTAGGTAATCTTCAGCACCCGAACATCGTCACAATCCTGGGCTACTGTACGTCGAATTCGGATAGAGTTTTGGTCTACGAGTTCATTGAGAGAGGGAGCCTGGACCAGTGGCTGTACGACACGACGGCGTCGCCGGAGAACGGCGACAGCTCGGGGTCGAAGAGGTTGCCCCTGTCGTGGGACACTAGGATGAAGATAATCAAGGGCGTGGCCAGTGGATTAGCGTATATGCACGGACTGCCGACGCCGATCATTCACAGAGACATCAAGGCCAGCAATGTGCTATTGGACGCTGAATTCGAGGCGCACATCGCTGATTTTGGGCTGGCGAGGATGATCGAGGCCTCGCAATCCCACGTGTCCACGCAATTCGCCGGGACCATGGGGTATATGCCGCCGGAGTACAAGGAAGGGTTCACGGCCGCGACCGTGAAGGCCGATGTGTATAGCTTCGGAATTCTGATGCTCGAGATCGCGACGGGTCGGAGGCCCAATTTGCCGGTGATGGATAGGGGAAAGGAGGTCGGGCTGGTTGTTTGGGCTCAGAACATGGTGGCCGAGAATCGGCAGATGGAGATGGTCGATCCCGCCGTTTCCAGGGACGGCCTGGTCAAAGCCGGTGTGGAGGCGTGCTTCAACATTGCGTGTATGTGCACTAGCGAGCTTTCGAAGGAAAGGCCAGGTATGAGCCGAGTTCTCGAGTTGTTGAATTCTTCATTCGGATGAAAAATGGCGGAATTCATCGAAGGTATGATTTCTGCGCCAAAGTTAAACAACCCAGAAAGAGAAGGAAACAAGGTTAAGTTTGTTAGCCAGTAGTCTAGTTCTGGTGGCAATTAGAGGGTACTCTGTTTGTTGCCTCAATGAGAAAATGTGAATAGCTTTGTAGAGTTGATTGAGGTCTGAAGCAGGTAAATGACCTGCAGATGCAGCTTCTGTAATTGTTATATCGACTATATGAGAATGTATCTAAATAGATTTCGTGGCCATTGCAAGACTGTGTCCATTGCACTTGATGCTGTTGTGAATCCGGATTTGCTTTGATGAAGGTCTCCTATTTGAGATAGATTGAAACAGAGAGTCTAGTTTCTTTGCTATTTTCACATGCTGATGCAAGGATCTTCTTGGTCTGCATCATCATGTCAATCTCATCTCCAATATGCTTCCCTAGAAACCTCCTCATTGAACATTTTGGAAACAGAAGCAGTTGATGCCGAGTTAACTTTGTTGGTCCATCTATGATATAGAGCGAAAGATGGAGACTGAGTTCCGGATCGAGAATTTCGCTTTTAGACTTTATGATACTTGTTTTGAGGTCGTTACATGTATGTCCTTATCGATCCTGCAAAGGATGTGTTTTCTCGAAGTTGTTTTGATCTCTCCTCCCTCCTTATCTGGGCTTGAATTGGTTGAAGTAGTTCTGCAAAAATGTTTTGACGTGTTCTCGCTCCTTGTCGATGAAATGCTTCAGATAAAGAATGGTGACCATCTCTTTGAAACTATGTCAAATGAATTCGAGCGACATGACGAAACTTGAAGCATGCCTTTGTGCGAATGATTCGATAAAAGCGTTGACGGTTCGATGGGGGTTATTATTTCTTGAGTAATTGCTAAACCCATGAACTTTTGTGTGTGAATACGAGCTGTTTGGTTTTATGCAAATCCTGCATTTTCCAGGATTTTTCCAGGAACCAGTCCCTGTTTACCGTTGCTAATCGCCGGCAGAGAAGCGTCCTAGTGTCTGGTCAAAGTATTAGAGATTCTCGATGTCGTACAAAGCAATGTAGACACCTTTTAAGTCTTTGCCGTCCCAGCGAGTTGGTTTTGGATCTTCTGAAAGGATTGGCAACGTCCATCCTTTTAACCGATCGCGAGGCGCAAAATCGAGCATGCAAACCGGATTTTACGTGCATTCCACCTGATCTAAGAGCGTGGGCGACCCCAAAACGCGCATGTTGACCCTTTTGTCCATCTGAGCATTGAAGTCTAAAAGGGAATATTCTTGTAATTTCATTTAAGTCAACAAAAGGATATGCCTGAATCAAGACCCCGGTTGTCTGGGCAAAAGAATTGCCAAGGCTGCACATCATTAATTAGTCGGCTAGTCTCACGGGCCTTCCTTGTTTTGTGGGTTATATTATAGGTAATCTCACGGGCCTTTCTGAAGTTTGAACGTTCACAAACGTCAAGGTCATGCTCCCGCGTGGAATGTCGGCAGTCTAAGTAGTAAGTTACACGGACACCATTCATATTTATTTTTGGTTTAGTTTAGAATTAGGTTTGTGTCCTATTTATGAAGGTAGCCTCATTCCAAGAGCGTTCAATAGTGTAAACACCCACTCAATTTGCACTCGCTGAAATTTCCGTTGGCATTGTTTGAGAGAAAATTCTTAGGGATAATGATACAAATGATCCCTGAACCTTGATACAATATGTAATGTGGTCCATGAACTTTTAATTTGTTTAATGTGTCCTAGAACTTTCGCACTATATTCAATGTGGTTCTTGAACTTTCAATTTGTTCAATATGGTAATTGGACTTTTGGTACATGTTCAACTCAGTTCCTGAAGTATATGAAAATGTTCAATGTTGTCACACACAACATTGAACATTTTCATATACTTCAGGAACTGAGTTGAACATATACAAAAAATTTAGGGATCATATCGAACAAATTGAAAGTTCAAGGATCACATTACATGCTAGGTCAAAGTTCATGGATTATTTGTGTCATTTTTTTCAATTTCTTATGTAAACCTTAACTTCGCATGCTTTTGGTAATAAAAACTTTTCCCCCGTAAGTATCTATGGTATCTAAAATGAAAAAAAAAAGCCCGATAAGAAGTTGAAATCATGATTAATGGATTCGCAAAGGTTCCCTTCATTCAATGAGGAATGGAAATTAAAAAGAAAAGGTGAAGTCCTTTTCTCATTTTGTTTGAAAAGAGGTCCCGATATGCAAAATGAGCCACCATTTAAAGAAGCAGAAGATGAGACATAGACCATTCAACAAAAGTTTCCCTTGCGGTGAAGGCCCCGAGTCTTTCGAGTTTAGAACCAAATTTATAATAATAATTTCTCATCTTTCTGAACCCTTAATCCTCAATTTTTCACTATAATCCCAAATATGCGTGAAGGTGTTGATAAATACGTGGGTTTCTGATGATTGACCTTTAATTGGCCATGATGTTGATAATTTTGAAAAAATTAACAGTAACTTTTGGACGCGATGATAGATTTGAGACTTTGAGACATAAAATAGTTCGAGGCAGAATTAATATTGAACCTAAAGTTGAGAGTTTTTAAGGGAATTAGGTCGAGGGAAAAGAGAAAAGTATAAAAAGAAGTCAGCCTCAACTTTTCCTCGTTTACACTCTGCATCTACCTAATTTCATAATTCACATTTCGCTCCATCTAAATTTAATAGATCTTCACTTTCACTTTGTCCTCCGTTTCATCTCAGATTTTGAGGTGTAAGCATGATTTCTAAAAGTCTCGAGATCTAAATTGTAGGTTTCAAAAGTAGATGATGTACAGTGACGGATGGAGAGATGGTTATAGTTATGTTCGCGATAGACAAAAGAAAGAGAAAGAGAGAGGTAAAGTCAATGGAAAATGGTTCACGCTTGCCCTTCCCATGGATTGTTTCTTTAGATTATGGATTAATACCGCGAAAAATTTCAAACCGGTATATTTGTGATAAATTTACTTCAAATTAATTTTTTGAACATAAAAAACCCTAAACTGGTACACCTATAATAAATTTACCAATTGTTAGTTTCTGTTAAATTTTACCGTTAAATTGCTGAGTTGGATGATACGCGACAGTTGACGGGTATACCAGTTTGAGGTTTTACCTCTGTTTGTCACATGTGTGTCCATTTGTGGTTTTTCGTGGTATTAGTCCATTTTAACTAAACTAACGGATGATAAATTTGTAAAAATTAGTTTGGGATTAATATATTACAATTGTACCAGTTTAGAGTTTTTTGAGGTATTAACCCTTAGAGAGAGAATGTGAAGAGAGAGGGGACAGGTGAGCCCAGTGAGGACACGTGTCCTTCAGCCAATGGACTAGTGCAAAAATGAGGTGTCATCAGAGTTCTACCCAATATTTTGCGCAAGGCTCTTATGCTAATAAAGCCATATGATAAATGCTAGAAACGAAATTCAGGTTTAAAAAAAGGAAAAATCAAAGAAAAATGATTAACTAACGGTGCTGTCATTTTATGGGAGAATGACGGTCAACTCTTGACCACAAAAGCATTTTTCCACGGAAGTGGCGTTATTTTTAATAATGTATGGAGGATTATTTACCCAAGATTATGCATAATTGAATCAAAAGAAAAAAAAAACTTGCTAGATTATAGCCAATCCTCCTGCGAGTTAAAGAAATATTCTTCTGCTTGTCAGGTTATAATTCCCAATGTTTATTTCATTGTTGCTAAATCATTATAATGTATATAAAAGGCATAATAATCGTATACATGACTACTGTGTAAATATCCTCGTTCAAACCTATCACTAGCACAAATTTTATTTACTCTAGTCATGAACACTTCATCAGTACAGTTTTAAAATATGTGTTACTAGTTTGAGGTTTTGGTGAGACTAGCTAGTCTACAAAAGCAACAACTCAAACATGAAAAATATGGAATCGAAGACATGACATGGATTCAAAGACAAATCTGACTCATCATATTATGCAATTTTACTTGAATAAATGTTATCTTTTACTAAGCTTCTATCAATTTTCTCATATTTCACTTTATAATTAAAGTTTACAAAATATTTTATCTCGTTCTTTGGTCTATGGCTTATCATTTGCTAGTGTGAAGTGCACCATCATTATATATTTTGTCTTGCTCTAATATAACTTTTAGTTCTCGAAATTAATTAAAATTTCCGTTTCTCTTTTGGATATTGTGCGTGACATATTACTAATAAATCTTGGTACAGACCATAAAACTTAAAATAAACATGAAAGACTGAATTTTACGATGACTTTTTGATGCCAGAGAAAGCGTAGAAAAGTAGGAGGCAACAAAAGTGAGAACTGAAATGGATAGGTCGCTCGCCGCTCGTAGGTAACTAACGTAAGAGATAAAAGTAATACTTGTCACCTGTAAGAATTCACCCAAGGGACAAGAGTATCTAAAAGCTCAATTAGTTTTTATCAAAATATCTCTGCCTTTGTTATTCATCATAGCACATCTATATAGAGCATGGAACAACCCTCCAAGCTTGAGTAATTACTAAGACTCTTTGGAAAGACAAAAGACTCATAGAAAAGACAAACAACATTTACAACCATAAATAAATAAGGACTCTAGAAACTTGAACGACGTTAACTAGACCTTGAAAATATACGAGAATTAAATGTAATCGATTGAAGGTCTCCATGACTTTGCCATTTCCAAAGTGGATAATTAATGGCCTTTGAAGGAACCAAACAACCTTCGGTTCGTTGTGATCGAAGAGTTGACTTGGAATGACAATATCGACAAGAGCCGACTTGGTACCGATAGTATCGACAAGAACTCGATGTCTCAAAAATGCTCCGGCATCACTTTTGTTCCCTATGGGTGATTATAATTGTGCTAATCGATACGGTTCTTAACTTTATTATTCTTTTAGAGGGTTTAGCTTTTGTAATTTTGCAGCACAAGGGCCATTTTTTACAATTAATTTTGAAAATTTTGAACTCCAGTTGCCCAGCTGAGTCCGACTAACATAATGGCCCTGTTTGGTTTAGCATTTGAAATGCTCATTTAGGCTCTAAAGTCCCTTGGCCAAATGCAAATGGTGTTTGACAATTTTTTTTACTCATTTTGAGGAGATGCAATTGAATTTGGAATGCTCCCCAAGGGACCTTTGGCCAATGCTCCACTGGAGGTGCTTTGGGAAGTTACATTTTCGGAATGCAACTTACACTGTTCATCTTCCCTAGACGGAGGGTCGGCGTGGCCAAGACCGCCAATGGGCTTAAGTCCAACCCCTAACGACCCTGCCCGGGGGTCGCGTGACAAAGGCGGTGGTGGCCGGCGACCAGATCTGGCCGTCGACGGTTGGCCGTGTAACGCCCCCATCTCGGGATCATTAACGTGACGTTCCGTTCATTGTTATCTTTTTAATAAGCACAAGCGAAAACGTAAACTCGGGACAATTACATTCAGAACAATAGCGGAATTTAGACAAGCAGTATTATGAGCAAACATTATGTTTATAGTGCATGCAAACATATTTTAACAAGCCCTTCGGGCCATGGCAAACAACACATATTTCACACGCATATTCTAGAGGCTCATCCGTTCCTAGCCGACTATGAATAACAAAACTCGGCTTGGGCGATCCTATCCCCTCTACTTCATCTTCTCGCTTCTAACTCCATCCACATCTCCTCCCCGCTTCCCGTCCACATGGCTGATCTACACTCCACCCGTGGCATGCCCCGGAGCCGGCCCGCCTACACCGCGAAAAGGTCCATTGAACCCACATAGGGGCCCAACCCATTCTCCGTCAGTGTAGCCATGCCATGCTACGTATGGGTGAGGCACCAAGTCCGTTAGGCCCTCATCGACCATCACATACGTCGTGATTCGGCGGTAGGCTCGGCCTTCTCGGGCATCTATAACGGTGAGCACTTCGGCTCTCATTTCCACGGGGTTGCCGAACCGGGTCGGGGGAGACGCCATTCTTCGGACCTGAAAAGGAAACAACGGGGGAAGAGTCGGGGAGACTCAGCAAGTAAACCTACTAATATCAAGCGAGGACGAGGGGATCGCCGTTAACATAAGTCGGCTCTTATCACACCCGCATCAATGGCAGATCAATAGCAAAGTTCATACAAGTGAATACCACGCATGGCTATTACGTGTGCATTTTACCAGCCAAATCTCCGTTCTAGCTCAAGACAAACATCAAACATGAAACATGGTCAAATCAAGGGATTGAACCAACTACGACCAACCAAACGACCGAGAAACGGTCAAAGCAAACCGTGTCACAACGCATCACAACTTCCTTTCCCGATATTAGAAAATTTACTTACTCTACGAAATAGAACTAGAACAAGAAAGGAACACGGGAGTCTCGGCGGTTCTCGGGCTTGAACACGAACACACGGGCCTTGGATGTGGCTTCCTATTGACTGAACAACAAGGAGAGACACGGGCTAGTCGGTGAGCTCTCTCTCTCTTTCTCTCTTTCTCTCTTTCTCGACGTGAACAAGAAGCAAAGAAGCAAGAAGTGAGATGGTGATGGCGTGAGAATGAAGAAGGACTAAGTCTATTTATAGACAACCCAAACTTGCTCAACAAGTTGCTAATCAAAGCTTGCTTAAGAAAATACATGGCCATCATGACAAGCCCCTCAAAGTCTAAGATCATTTAATGCTTGTCATCATGATAGGGCGTCCAAAGTCTAAGCCAATTAATACTAGTCATGATGATGGGGTATCAAAGTCCAACTTCAATTAATAAGGGTCATAATGAAGATGACCTAGAAAAATCTAAGCCATAATTGCCCCAAATCTCTCTCTCTCGGTCCTTCCCCCTCTCTCTCGGCTATTCTCTCCTCTTGGTCGACTCTCCTCTCTCTCGGCATTTCTCCCTTGGCCGATCTCCAATTAAAGCTTAGCATAGCTCATTTGAAAGCTCAGAATGAGCACATTAAATCACCATAAGACATCAAGTTGAGATTCCAACGTTCCCATATAGAAAATGATGAATCTTTGAAATCTGACAAAACCGGACAGTTTTGCACTGTTCACGAAATCGGACTTGAAAACATAGTAAATAGACTCCAAAAATTCTCAAATTTGAATATGTCATAAACAAGGCCTTAACAAATATTTTTCATGAAGAACACGAAATCTGAATCTTTCTGTACACACAACTTTTTATAGCTCAAAGATAGACTAAAAACAATTCGCTAGGACAGAATTCTTGTTTCTCAAAGTAAGCTCTTTCCAAAATCCAAATCATCTCGAAAAATTCCCAAATTTATATATGTTATAAAAAAGGAAGTCCTCAACAAATTTTGTGAAAGAAACTTTTCCAAAATCGGCCCAGAAAAGCTTGTAGAAGATAAAGAAAGTGTGAACATCACCGAAATACCCATTCTGGGTAGTTTTACACGGTCCGGAAATTAGGCTGTCGTACTATTCATATCAAGTCCAAAAATTCTGAAATTAAAGTATGTAAAACTTCAAGATGTTTGGAGAAACTTTCAAGAAGGAAGTGTTTGGAAATTCGGATCACAAAAGTCTCCACAAAAATAACAAAACGAAGGGTACAAAGGATCCGAAATTGGTTTTTCCAGAACAAGAGTAAAAATTGGTTCCAATTGAAAAACTACCAAACTTAAATCATAACCATTTCCCAGGGACTGAAATTGAGGATGTTACAGGCCGGCGACCAGATGTGGCCGGCGGCGGTGGCATGTGGTTTAGCTCCACTGGAGCTTTTTTTTTTTTTATAAAAAAATTAGCAAAAGTCCTTTAGCCCAAGTTAATTTTAAAAAACACTTACCAAACACTTTTGCATTTCGGAAAATCCCTTTAACCTAAAGTTATTTGCATTCCCCCAAATATATTTCTCCAAAGTCGAACCAAACGGGTCCAATGTAAGATTTGTGGCTATTGAAGCATCGTTACAAATGCAGTGTAACGGTACGGTTAGCCTAGCCGGGCCCAAAATCAAACTTCACGGTCTCTTGGGTGAAAACGAGAGGTCCGGAAACGTAATTCAGGATTCCATGAAGCAACCCACCTCAACGGCGGCTCTTCTCAGTCTTCTTCTTCTTCCACCTCCCTCTCTCTCTCTCTCTCTCTCTCTACTCAGTCGACTTCTCTCTCCTCCTCCTCCTCCTCACACCCACCTCACTCATCTAACTAAACTCTGACATGAAGCACCACCTTCAAAAAGTCGTCGTCGCGGCTGCGATCTTCATCGGCGCCCACCTCTTCTTCGTCTTCCTCGTCTTCGCCTGCTGCCGGCGCAGGTGGAACCGTGGCCGCTCCAAACCGGAGGAGCTCTCGTCCATCGCCATCCACGAGAGCGCCTCCTTCGACCCCAAGCTCCGAATCTCCATGGAAGAGCTCCGGAACGCCACCGAGGACTTCCACCCCCTGCGGATCATCGGCGACGGTGGCTTCGGCCTCGTCTTCAAGGCCCGCCTCGCCAACGGCCTCACCGTTGCCATCAAGAAGCTCGAGCCTGACGCCTTCCAGGGGTTCCACGAGTTCCGGGCCGAGATGGAAGCCTTATGTAAGCTTCAGCACCCGAACATCGTCAAAATCCTCGGGTACTGTATGTCGAATTCGGATAGGGTTTTGGTCTATGAGTTCATGGAGAGAGGGAGCCTCGACCAGTGGCTGTACGACACGAAGTCGTCATCGGAGAACAGCGAAGTCTCGTGGTCGAAACCCTCAGTCGAGAGGTTGCCCTTGTCCTGGGACACTAGGATGAAGATAATCAAGGGTGTGGCCAGTGGATTAACGTTTATGCACGGATTGCCGACGCCGATCATACACAGAGACATCAAGGCAAGCGACGTGCTGTTGGACGCCGATTTCGAGGTGCACATCGCGGATTTCGGGCTGGCGAGGAAGATTGAGGCCTCGCAATCCCACGTTACCACGCAACCCGCCGGGACGATGGGGTATATGCCGCCAGAGTATAAGGACGGATACAGAAGGGTGACCGTGAAGGCTGATGTGTATAGCTTCGGGGTTCTGATGTTCGAGATTGCGACAGGTCTGAGGCCCTATTTACCGGTGGTGGACAGGGGAGAGGAGGTCGAGCTCACTGTTTGGGCTCGGAACATGGTGGGTGAGAACCGGCAGATGGAGATGGTCGATCTCGCTGTTTCAAGGGACGGCCTGGTCGAAGCTAGGGTGAAGGAGTGCTTCAGCATTGCGTGTATGTGCACTAGGGAGCGTGCAAAGGACAGGCCGGGTATGAGCCGAGTTCTCGAGTTGTTGAATCGGCATTCGGATGAAAACGGTGTAATTGATCGAAATATGGTTTCTTTGCCAAAGTAAAATTACCCAGAAAGAGAAGGAATCAAGGTTAAGCTTGTGAGTCAATAATAGTCTAGTTGCGGTGTCTAGTAGAGGGTACTCTGTTTGTTTCCTTAATGGGAAAATGTGAATAGCTTTATAGAGTTGATTGAGGTCTGAAGCAGGTAAATGACCTGCAGTTGCAGCTTCTGTAATTGTTAATAGATACTAACATCGGCAATATGAAGTTGTCTCTAAATAGATTTCTTGGCTATTTCAAGACCGTGTAGATAGCAGTTAATTGCTGTGGTGAATCCGGATTTGCTGGAATGACCGTCTCCTATTTGAGAATGATTGAAACAGAGAGTCTAGTTTCTTTGCTATTTTCACATGCTAATGCAAAAGATCATCTTGGTCTGCATCATGTCAATCTCATCGCCAATTTGTTTCCCCAGAAACATCCTCATTGCATATTTTGGAAACAAAAACAATTGATGCTGAGTCGACCTGTTCGGTTCGTCTTTGATTATAGAACGAACAACTGAGATCGAGTTTCCCTTTGAGGATTTCGCTTAGACTGTATTATACCTTGTCTGATGCCATTACCTGCATGTCCCTATTAATCCCACAAAGTATGTCTTTTCTCGAAACCATTTTGATCTCTCTCCCTCCTTATCTGGGCTCAGTTCTGTTGAAGCGGTGCTGCAAAAATGTTTCCATGCGTGGTCACTCCATGTCGACGAGATGCTTTCACATAGAGAACCATGATGCGTGAATAATTCGATAAAAGTAATGGTGGTTGGATGGGGTTATTATATCTCGACTAATTGCCAAACCCCATGAAACTCTTGTGTGAATATGAGCAGTTTGGTCTCTGTGATCCTGCATTTACTAGGTACCAATCTTGCCGTCCCGGCCAGTGGGTCATTGCTTGCTTCCAGAGCATGTGAGCCTAGCTCAAGCGCACCCGTCTGATCCAAGAGTGTACGTGAGGTTGGGGGCTCACGGGCACCCAAAACGTGCAAGTCTTTCGATACCATACCCTTTTGTCCATATCGGCACTGGTCTAAAGGGGAATGTTCTTGTAATTTGAGAAAATAGTCTAGTGGCAATTGGAGGGTAGTCTGTTTGTTGCCTTAATGAGAAAATGTGAATAGCTTTATAGATTTGATTGAGGTCTGAAGCAGGTAATGACCTGCAGATGCAACTTCTGTAATTGTTGATAACTTAATACATACCAGATAGACAATACGATATCATATCTAAATAGATTTCTTGGCTATTTCAAGACCGTGTCCATCGCAGTAAATGCTGTTGTCAAGCCGGATTTGATGGAACGACGGTCTTCTATCTGAGAATGATTGAAACAGAGAGTTTAGTTTCTTTGCTATTTTCACATGCTAATGCAAGGATCATCTTGGCGTGCATCATGTAAATCTCATCTCCAATATCTTTCCCCGGAAACATCCTCATCGAATATTCTCGAAACAAAAACAATTGATGCTGAGTTGACGTTGTTGGTTCATCTATCATTATAGAACGAAAAATTGAGATTGAGTCACACCCCGAAACCAACAAGAATGGAAGAATAATAAACCAACGAGTTTGTTATCTTAAATCAATAATATTTCTCAAATCAAGAATGGGAGTATTTATGCTATGAAAATACTCATTTCAATCAATAATATCAAAACAAATATTAATGGTCTAGCTCATTAATCAATCTCAAATAACATGTCAATGGTTTATTCCATTGACCAATCTCTAGCTTAGATATCAACAATGATTACGGATAACGCCCCGTGACAAGGATACTAAGCTTTTCCATTAGCTAGGTTTCCACCTATATTGCTGGTGGCTGGGCCACAAGAATATCATAAACTAGTATGCATACCCGCAAGTCCCTTAATGGGCTCATAGAGCTACAGGGCATCAACACCAACTCACAACAACATCCTTGACAATCCTCATAACTAAATCCATAAATCGATATCACAAATCGATTTACTAAACAAATCATACAATCTTTTGCGGCTAAACTCATCCACCATAATACCTTTTGCAATTTATTTCGGGAAAATTGTCCAAAAAATCATAATCCTATTGCATTTTTGCCAATTCAGTCTTAAACATTTTGATTTTGCCAATTGAGTCTTAAACATTTTCACATTTTGCCAATTGAATTTGTAACAGCCCGAATTTCGATGTAATTCCGGGATTAATAAAACTGATATTAATTCGCATTTCATTTTAGTAAGTCTCGCCCGGAGCTGATCACTCTCGGGATACTAACCAATGGGGTATGACTAACTAGAAAATGGTACGTGGACCGGGGATCCTATCGTGAAACGGACACCGATCACGAGAGACGCTGAGGGAATATTTTGAGCCAACGTGGGCCGATCGTAGGAAAAGGGTAATGGATTGGGTTTGGCTAAAGCCTACGATGTACAATAGGAACGCAGGTGATTCTGCAAGACCGAAAGTACATGTGGCCCACCAGTCCTGAACGTGAATCGAACGATCGTGACCTTTGGAACTAGTGATAATTTCTCATTCTCTCAATGATCAGAACCGTCACGACTCGGATAACCCTTGGTCGATACGCATAACCTCTAAACAGCCGCCCGTTAGTGAGAGACCCTGAAATTGAAAGTTTAGCGAGTTTTGTTCATGGAATTGGGCCCGGATTTCGATGTCGATTTTCGAAGGCTTAAGAGACTATTTTTGGGAATCTGACGTCATATCACGCTGGCCACACATGTTTGGAGTTAGTACGAGTAAAAATTGGAATTTCGGTCCGGGGATGAAAAATTACGATTTTGCCCCTCGGGACGCCAGAGTTGCTTTTCAAGGCCAAATGAGGTTATTTTTCGAGGTCGACGCCATTTTTGGGTGAACACGCATACCAGGAGTCGTTATGGCCAAAAATTGGAATTTCGACAAAAATTAAAAAAATAATATTATTTTATTCCCGAAACTTTGACGTGGATTTTCGAGGGCTTGCGCGATGAATTTCGCGATTCCGACACCGCATTATGTTGGCCACGCACATGGAGGGTTGGTACGGGCAAAAAATGGAACTTCGCCCCGGGACCGGAAAAATGACGGTTTTGCCCCTGGGCTATTTCGGGTCCGAATTTTTGGAAAATTATTTGGGATAATTATTGATGATTATCAGCTGCATTATTGGGGCTAAAGACCATTTTACCCTTCACTTTTTGGATAAGGATTAATTAGGGCCGTTAGATTAGGGGCGTTTTGGTCATTTTGCGTAGATTGGCGACACTTGGCGCCCTAGCCCCTATTATTTGACCAGAATTTAATCCTCTCTATCTCCTCTCACCCTCACTCTCGGCCAGAGCTCTCTCTCCCCTCCCGATCACTCTTTCTCTCCCATTTTCTCTCTCGGCTTGGCTTTGCCGGAGCGTCGCCGCCGGCCGCCGTGCCTCGCCGTCGAACCACCGCAGCGCCCAGCCTCAGCCTTGCCCCTGTCCGACCCTTTCTCTCTCTATTTCTCTCTCTTTCTTCCTCTTTTTCTCTCTTTCCCGTCCGGCAAATAGGGCCGCCGGAGCTTCGCCGGAGCTCGGATCGTTGTTCCGTCGCCACTCAGCCGTCCAGCCACGCTGTACGACGCCGACCGTACCTGTCCGTATGGTCGGTACTGTAGCGTCCGTACGGTACTGTTCCCCGCCGTCCGTACGGTCACTGTTCACGCCGTCCGTACACCGTCGCCAGTTCCACTGTTCACCAGTGATTGGCCGTCGTTCCTCGTCGTCTTGACCTTGGATTAAGTGAGTAAAATTCCTAAACCCGGATTAGGACTCGATAGTGCATTTTTCTCGGACTAGTTTAGGAATACTAGTACATGCCGAGAGGAATTAGTGTACCGATTGGTAAGAATTATTATCGGGAAAAATGTAGTGGATCAATGAGAATTTATTGCGTAGAGTAATTGGATTGATTGGCCAATTTAGGAGCCCATTGGTGGAATTGCCGGGTATGTCCGGGTTGACTGATTATATGTAATTCGTGCTTAATTGTGATTGATTGAGTACTGCTATGTCGCATGTTGGGTGGCTGATTTTTGTGGAGTGCGACTGGCCATTGTTTGGCTTGCAATTAATTATTGAATTGTGAATCGCACATTGGGCCACACGGTATTAATTGGGCCAATTGAGCACGTGTTGTGATATTGAGTGTTTGAATTTAATTGGTGCTCATGGTGCATTGCATTGCATAACATGGACACTCATTATGTACGCCTAGTGTGAGGCATGTGGGGAAATTATGCGAGAATGCGTGCCTGCCATGAGTGTGTGATCACCTAAAATACCCTGAAGCGTCATACGCTGGGTTCGGATAATAATGAGTTGTGTGATCACTTAAAGACCTTCGGGTCGTGACCTTCGGATCGATACCGTCCTCATGCACTTTGAAGCAGGACGATGCCCGGTACGTCCGGAAGACGACCATCCTCATGCACTTTGAAGCAGGCTCTGGTTCGTAAGGAGATCAGTGTTGCGCCTCATGTACTTTGAAGCAGGCTAGAGACACTGGGCCAGATCGGTTGCTGCGCCTCATGCACTTTGAAGCAGGCTAGACGCACCGGGCCGTGAATGTTGTTGACTCGAGTCGTAATAAATAATAAATTGGGCGATTGCCAGTGTGGGCCAGTGGGCCGGGAAATGCATGTGACATGTCGACGACATTTGCATGCATGAACATGCATGGACTGGCATGCGAGTGTGTGAGACTCGGTGCATGAGCATGTGATTGGCGTACGTGTGATAATGTGTGCCACGTACATGCCGTGATTATTATATATTGAACTGCCTAACCTGCAGGGTCAGAGAATTATTTGATTGTTGTTGCATTATGGTTTCAAATATTTATTTCCGGTCAGGAGATTGCATGCTAGCCTAGCCTAGGTTTAGGGATTGAACTCATTGAGATTCGTCTCACGGTTGTGTAAACCGAAACTTTTCAGACCCCCAGCCATAAAGATGCCAAACTCGCCGCTTTTTGGAATACCTGTACAGATACACCAGTATACTAGTACCTACCTCGCAGCAAATGGGGAATCGTATATAAGATATCGATCCATGGTGTTTGTAAACGTGGGAGAGTATTTTCATCAGACTCAGGAGTATGTGGCTTGGTGCCTAAGAGATGCCGACGGAAACCTAGGGCAACCCCTTAGGACCTTTGATGCGCCAATCGGTCAAAATGGATTGATGGAACCCATATATGCGGATGGCGAGGTGATCAATCCTCAGGATGTTTACGATGTAGATAGCGTTGATGAGCCTATGGATGGGGAGCCACAGGAACCACAGGTGATAGCTGAAGACCAAGACCAAGTTGCCGAGGAAGAA